TTTTTTTTGGTTTTTCTCCGGTACCGGGAACCGAACTCACGACCTTGCGCTTGCCAGGCAGGCGCTTTTGTCGCTGAGCTAAATCCCCAGCCCCGAGTTCGGGGTTTTATTTGAGAAAAGGAGGCTTTATGAAAGTGATAAGGGAATTTCAGTTCTTCTTAAGCCTTTTACCCCATTGTGCCATGTCAGCCTAAATTTAGCAACAGGTTATTTTTTATTTTTTTTATTTTTTTGTTTTTTGAGGCGGGGTCTTGCTATGTAGTTCAGGCTGGCCTTGAACTCACTTTGTAGCGAGGCTGGACTCAAACTTGTTGTGATCCTCCTGCCTCAGCGTCCCGAGTGTTGGAATTACAAGCACGTGCTACCATGCCCAGCATCAGTAGGTTATTAAGTTAAATGTCAGAGTTAAAAGATTGTTTTGTTCTTTGGGTGATATGAAGGAGTTACCTGGCTGTGATTACGACATGTAGAGAAACCTGTCATAGCAGGGGAGCGATTCCCTGTGTGAGTAATACTCTCAAGACAGACATGGTGTGGTGGGGAATGGAGACTGACTCGTGGCCAGGTCTGAGGGCTGCAGGGCTGCGGGAGTTCCCAGGGGTGGGGGCAGACTCAGGAGGCAGCGGGTAGGCATCGCTTGGCCCTGCTAGCCAGGCTGGAACACACGGCAGAAGGGTCAGTTTATGGAATTCACGATGATGGAACAGGAGGATGAACAGACGATGTGCACGGCGTTGTACGTTATGGAGGGGAACTAGAACTACGCAGAACGTGAAAGCTGGAGTAGATTGCCTTAAATTTGGGTGCAGTTCGTTTTTAGCCACGGGATCCCAGACATTGCTGATTGTTCCAAGTCTTTCTCATTTGTAAATTGGGACAGTGTTGCGTGTTTTGTATTGTGAAGGTGAGGTAAGAATTTGAGTGCAGGTACTGGGTGCTCAGTAGCCAGTTGTTATTTACCGTTCCTTACTTTTTTAGAGAAACATGAAAGTAGCAGCAGTGAGTTCATTCCCACTGAGATGCATTAGACATTTTTGTCCATATATTTCAAAATTTACAGTGGTACATAAATGAGAGACATTTTCTTTGACTCATGTGAGCTATGTGTTATAGTAGCAGCAAGCAGGTAACATTGCTAATAGTATTGTTTGTTGTGTGGCAAGGGTTATGCTAAGTCCAGAACACTTTAAAGGTCTGAGCACCGTCCTCGAAGCCACTTGAACTGGGAACCGTGGCCATCTGCCTTTGATAAGACTCCTGACCTTCGTAGGTAGGGAAGGGGAGAGCTCGGGAGAATCACCAGTCCTTTCTTAGGTCCTACACTTTTAACCTGATGTTCCATTGATAAGTGTAGTGAAGAAGTAGAATTGTCAGGCAAGAGCACTCATTGATTTTGCTGTTGTCGCCATCACTTTTGGAATTTTGAAGCAAGGTCTTACTGTGTAGCTCAGGCTGGCCTTGAACTTGGGATCCTCCTTCCTCAGCCTCCTGACTGCTGGGATTGCTGGCGGGCACCGCCATACCCGGCTGCAAGAACATTCTTACAGTGGTTTTCTTTCTCGGCAGGTGCGGATCTGGAAGGTGGCAGTTGTAGTCACCCTTTAATTCCAGAGAAAGCGTCGCCTCTCTTACCTGCGACTCATGTGACCATGGCGAAGGGCACGGGACTGGTCCACACGGCCCCAGCTCACGGCATGGAGGACTACGGCGTGGCCTCTCAGCACAGCCTGCCTGTGGTACGCTCTGTGTCCCTGCGTTCGCCTGCCTTGTGGGATGGAAGGGGCAGACCCGAGGTTCCCGCGTCTCGCTGAGCAGACTGCCGTTCTGCGGAAACTGCGTGGCTTAGGGCGTGTGGAGCTGCAGAGCTGCCTCCGTTCACACTAACTGAGAACCCCGGAGTTAGCGCAGAATTCCAGTTGCAGCCTGTGGACTGTGGGCCTCTTAAACACGCCTTGCTGTGCCCCCTTTCCTGTGCTTTGTAGGTACGCACTTCTCGCAGATCGAGGGTTTGTGGCCAGTGTGTAGAGCGAATCTCTTGGCAGCGTTTTTCAACAGCACAGACGATTGTTAGCGTTTGTTAGGTACAAGGTGTATTGAAATTAAGGCGCACACATCGTCTTTTTAGACATAAAGCTTTTGCACACTTGGTCGCCTGCATAATTTTTATATGCATTGGACAACAGGAAAACAGCAGTTAGACTTTGCTAAATAGAAAAGAACAGTTTTGTTGTATTTTTACCTAAACAGTCCTTTAATTTTATTTTACACATTTCAGTTACTTAGCACAATCATTTGGTTAAAATGTAGTTTTAGGCTGAGGCAGGAGGATTGCTGTGCGTTCAAGACCAGCCTGCACTACAGAGTGAGCTCAGGGCCAGCTCGACCTGCATGTGAGACCCTGTCTCAAAAGGACCTCAAAAAAATTTTTTTTTTTTGAGTTTCAAGATGTTCAGTGTATTTTGGTACTTAACCTTTAGCATATACTTTAAAAATAAATTTTGCTTTTGGTTATTTAAATTATAAAATTCGTAAGTTTTATTGACCAGATAAGTACTCAGGTTCTTAGTATGGAGAGAACTGGGCTGGGGTGAGATGTTGTACGTGTCTTGCCAGAGGTGGTCAGGAGGTGAATGTGCTGCCCCTCTCCCTTGTTCACAATGGCACTCCAGGACTGTTTGGTGGATGAAGCAGGGGTGTTCACAGCTGCCGCGGGTCCTGAGCTCGAGAGCAAGGCTGTCCTGGAGGCGGGGACCGAGACGGGTGAGTCGCGCTTTTTGTATTTGTATTTAGGGACAGGGCTCGGGAAGGGGCCACAGTGTCCTGGTGGGGCTCAAACGTGGGATCCTTCCTTCTGCCTGAGCCCCCCAGGGTGCTGGGTACAGGCGTGCACCGCCGTGCCGTCTTAATGTTTTCAAGCGGAAACAAAAGCCAAGTGTGTCCTGTTTGGCCCCAGGGTTTCAAATGGAGTCTGGGATTTTTCATCTTGCAGTTCAGAGCTGCTCTGTTTCTGCACGCGAGGACAGTCTGCAGGGAGTGGTACTTTTTTAACAGAGATAAACTCTAGCTTGGGCCTAGGTATCGCCTATGTCCTCCAGTACTTAGGTAACTTGCAGAGACCTGGCCCTTGCTGGTTATGTTAGTCTGTGGCGGTCCTCCAGTTCTGGTCATACTTCTGGCTTTTTTTCACATGTTCAGAGACCAGGTGCCTGGAGACGGCTCTTTGTCCATGCCGGGACTAGTGTAGACCAGGTGATCTTCTCTTTTTTTTTTTGTACTGGGAATCACACTGAGGACCTGTGCTTGCCAGGCAGGCACTTACGCCCCTGAACTATACATCCCCGGCCTTTATTTTTTTTTTTTAATGCAAGGTCTCACAGTATAGTCCAGGCTAGCTTTGAACTCGCTGTGTAGCCTAGGCTGGCTTCCAGGCTGGCTCTTGCCTCAGCCTCCCGAGTGCTGCGTTTACAGGCATGTGCCGTCATTCCTGGCAGGTGTCCCTTTTCTAGGGTGACTAACACGTTCCCGTGAGCTTGATGGCCGAAAGCAGCAGAGCTGTCCTCTCCCGGCTTCTGGAGGCTCAGCACCCCAGAGTCCTGAGTTCCAGGGAGGACTGTGGGCTCCGGCTTGCACAGTGCTGTGCTGCCCGGTTCTGCCCGCCCCTCCTCTGCCTCAGTTGCCCCCGGCCGCCTGCAGCTGTGTCTGTGTGCCCTCTCCTGTCCTGAGGACTCCAGGCGCGGATTCATCCCACTCGAGCCCAGTGTGACCTCGCCTCCGCTGGTTTGCAGTGACCTGGCTCCCGAGTGGGGTCCCCTCTTGGGTACGGGGTCAGGATGTTCAGGGGACACACTCAGCCCTCCACACCTGGTTGCTCCTGAGTTCCTGAAGACCATTTCCAGGTTCCTGCTATGGAGGACTGTAACTCTGAATTCCAGATCTGGATTCTGCCTTCCGCCAGCTTTTCTGTATAGCGCATGGAAATGAGGGGCGTATCGGCGTCTGTGGAGGTCGTACGGTCCCTGCTTTTCTTTGCCAAGAGGCCCACAGTCGGTCATCCCTGACCTGGGATGTGGCTGCTCTGCGGCCCCCACCAGCCCAGGTGTAAAGCATCAGTAGGACTCATTGTACTTTGTTTTTTTTGGAGTCAAGGCCTTGCTAAGTTTCCCTTCCAGTCCTCCTGTCTCAGCCTCCTGTGTAACCGGGATTGCAAATGTGCACCATCGAACTTGGTTTTAATGTCACTTTTCGTGTCTAACTTAAAACTTTTTGATAGTTATAAAGATGCTTCAGAGTGTGAAGAGTCTGTTGAAAGAGGAAAAACTGGTCCACAGCTATCCCTACGACTGGAGGACCAAGAAGCCAGTCATCATTCGTGCCAGCAAGCAGTGGTTTGTGAAGATCGCAGACATCAAGCCCACAGCCAAGGTGCGAGAGGCGTGCTGTTGGAGCCTCGGTCCTTGGCCTTGTGCAGAGGGGTCAGCGGGGTTGGCAGGCTTTGGAGCTGGGGCATTGCTGTGTTCGGGTTTATTTCCTAAACTCGTGCCGGTTCAGATCTGAAAGGATCCTGAGCTTCATTCTTTCATTTTCCGTGTGTGGAAGATGAGGCTTCGTCATCCCCAGGCGCCCTCCTGTCCGGGAGGGTAGCAAACGCAGGCACCAGGCTGCCGCCCCTCCTTGAGCCTCAGTTCTGAGACCCCGTCTGTCCCTGGCCAGGACGATGCCCGAGTGAGTGACTCGAGTGAGTGGACGTCCACGGAGGCATTTCCTGAGCTCTTTGTGGTGCTTTCCCCAGACTGAGTGGCATCCACTTCAGAAGTGTTGCTCTGAGTTAGCAGATGCTATAGAGCTGGCGAACGGGTGTGAATTACGTGGTGTACGTACATGTGTGCGGCATGGCCTGTACGTGCGTGCGCTTCCCCTCTCGTTGAGGTGTGGGGTCTGGCCAAGTAGCCCATGATGGTGTCAGACTGAGCCCAAGTGATCCTCCTCCCGCAGCCTCCAAAGTACCCAGGAAGTTGGAACTACAGGCACAAGCCACCACGCCTGCCTTTGGGAAGAATGGCCCTTCTAGAACCTTCGCTTTGCTTTCTCTCACTGGCTTGGTTTTCCCTCCCCTGCAGGAGGCGTTGAAGACCGTGAAGTTTATTCCTGGGGCGGCTCTGAACGCCATGGTGGACACGCTGGAGCGGCGGCCATACTGGTGTATCTCGAGGCAGAGGGCGTGGGGTGTTCCCATCCCCGTGTTCCACCACAGGACCAGAGACGAGTGCTTGATCACCAGGTAAGCTCTCCTTACGTCCACTGCCTAAATTGGGCCACGTTTCCTTTGAAAATGGAAAATAATTTGGGCCATAGGAAGTTTATTTATATATTTTATTTAAAATATTTTAGTATAGCAGTGCTTTTTTTTTTTTCTGGTACCGGGAATCGAACTCACGACCTTGCACTTGCCAGGCAGGTGCTGTGGTGCTGAGCTAAATCCCCAGCCCCCTAACAATGCTTTCGAAGAGTTAAAACACAAATTTCCAAAACTGTCATATGGTCATAGTATTAACAAAAAGCAAGCTAGGAAGGTGTGTTGTGCCAGCTGACGGTGTGAGGGGTCCTGGGGTGAAGTGTGTTCAGTGGAAAAGCTGGCTGCAGTTTTTCTGTAGGAATCAGAATCACCTCCTTATTCTGCATCCATTCCCCTTTCCATTGGAAATGGCACTGTGTGATAGTTGAACTTTTTTTTTTTTGCCTTTTTGAGACAGGGTCTCGCTATGCAGTTCAGGCTGACCTAGAGCTCACTTTGTAGCCCAGGCTAGTCTTGAACTCACAAAGATCCTCCTGCCTCAGCCTCCCGAGTGCTGGGATTATAGGCGTGTGCCACAGCCAGCTGATTAGATATTTGAACATTTAAGAAACTAAGGTAAGCTAGGTATGGTGGTACATGCCCGTAACCCCAGCACTCAGGAGGCTGAGACAGGAAGATGGCTTCAAGTTCTGAGGCCAGCCTGCACTATATAGCTGTAGCAAGGCCGTGTGTCAAAAAAAACCAAGGAAACTATAAGGTAACCAAATACACGTGGGTGCATTGGTTATTACGTTCGCGGATATTCCTTGTTTTGTCCTTGTCTTTCAATTTGGTAGTGACAGACAGGTGTAGTAAGCAACGGTAGAGTGGGACAGCTTCGCAGGGAGATGGGTTTTTCCCGCCGCAGCCAAACCCATTTTGATGTGCTGTTCACCAGTCTTCTGAATCTTCCCAGAAAGTGAGTTCCTGTCTGCTGTGCTTACAGGTGTACAAAGGGATGATCGGATGTGCTGCTCTGGGCCTTTTTTCACTTTATATCTTTTTTTTTTTTTTTTTTTTTGAGACAAGTTCTTACTCTGTAGCCCTGGCTGGCCTTGAACCCATGATCCTCCTGCCTCAGCCTCCAAAGTGCTGGGATAACGGCTGCACACCACAAAGCCTGTCTTCTCACTATTTATGTCTTGCAGTTTGTTCTAGACCCAGCAGTTAGAAGATTTATCTCACTACTGTGTTTTTTAAGCTTTACTGCAACATACTTTATATACTGAAATGCATTCATTACAATTTATAGTAGATGTACATTTCGTGTATACCATCCTGGTGGTGCTTTAGAACAGTTTTTTTTTTTATTTCAAAGAAAAAGAAAAAACACAATAAACACATAAACAAAACAAAATTCTAAAGCAACATGGTAGGGTCACAGTGGTGAACACATTGCCACACTGCGTATTGTTATCTTTGAATTAGTTACTCAGTACGGCTTATCGGCATTTAATTGTCCAGACAGTGTCAGCACAAACCTACCTTTTCGGTGGACTCAGAGAAACTAGCAGTATACCTGTCTTAACTGTTTTTATACATACATATATATATATATTTTTTTCCTGTGCTTTTCCCTTTCTTCTTTTTTCCCATTCCCATAAAGCAGTTTCTCTTTCCTTTTCAAGTTTCTTCCCATTTTAAAATATCTAGTATACATTTTAGAACCATTTTTTTTTTGGCAGACAGTTTGCTTGTGGGTTTTTTTTTTTTTTTTGGTCTTTGACAGGGTTTTGCTGTGCAGTTCAGGCTGACCGTGAGCTCACTTTGTAGCCCACACTGGTCTCAAACTCGCGACAATCCTCCTGCCTTAGCCTCCTGAGTGTTGGGATTACGGGTGTGTGCCACCACTCCCAGCCCGTTTATTTGTTTGTTTGAGACATGGTCTCATTATTCCAGGCTGGCCTTCAATTCATTATGTAGCTCAGGCTGCCTTCAAATTTGCAGTGATCCTCCTGCCTCAGCCTCCATCGTGCTTGGATTACTGGCGTGTGCCACCACGCCTGGCTTCTTGTGCACTTTTTCAAAGAGCAGGCACTGGAAGGAATATCCACTTCACAGGATGACAGTTGAATTTCAACCCAGCCCTTGCCACTTACTGTATGTGAGGTTAAAGAATTTGCTGAGCTTCTGCTGTCTGTAAAATAGAATGGCAGTTGCCGGCGGGTGGTTATGAGCAGTCCGTGATGCATGCTGTGGCCTCGGCAGGAACTACTGCTCTCTGCCATGGCTGTGCGGCGCAGCTGTTCTGAGAGCCTTTGCTAAGGACTCAGCGCCAGCTGCGGCAGGGGGTCTGGTGTGGCCCTGCTCTTAAGAGCCGTCCACCTGTTTCAGCTGGGAACATTAGGCGGGGTCCAGTCACCCTAGGGCGTTGCTGGCCTGTTTCCTTTCCTTCCTTTCCTTTCCTTGATAGTAAGGATCAAGCCCAGGGCCTTCCACATGCTGAGTACGTATTCTACTGAGCTACACTTCCTTTTTTCGAAACAAGGCACTTGCTAAGTTTTCCAGGCTGTCCTCAAACTCGTGATCTTCCTGCCTCAGCCTCCTGAGTAGCTGGAATTGCAGGTGTGCACCACTGTACCAGCTCATTTTTATTTTAACATGGTGCTGAGGACCAAATCCAGTGCATCTCATACGCTAAGTGTGCACCCCGAGTCTTGCTTCCGTAGCTCTCAGGCCCCGCACTTTCTCTCCTCTTTTGTTGTGTTTTTTTGGTGGGTCGGGCAGTTCTTGACGTCCTTGGTGTGAGGGCTTTTCTCCAGGTAGGTCGGTTGGTTGCTGCCGGGCTTGCGGTGTGACGCCTGGCCGCAGTTTGGATGAGAGAGGCTGTGTGAGCGAGTGTAGCTCATGGTCCTTCAGCGAGGAGATGGCGCTCCGGTGGACCCCAGGATCAGCTGGGGACACGGCAGGTGTGGGCTGCGGGAGGGCGTGCAGAGGTGCCCGGGTGGGCAGCAGGGAGCCTGGGGGACGGAAGTAAGCCTCACACTTAAGCGTGCCCGAGGAGTAGGAGCACTTCACAAAAAGGAAGCAGAGGCCAGAAACCGGAAGCCGCGAAGGCTACTTCAGTGCTGTCACCACTTAGAGCTGTGGACTCTCGGTCTCAGTGTTGTTTTCTTGGCATTGGTTAGACATAGACTGGTGGGACCTCCGCAGTTCCGTGAAGAATTAAAATGATGACAGTTGAGGTGCGCATCCTCGGGTGTTCACGCTGGCGAGTTCCCTCGGGTTTTATTAGCACGCATGCAGTCGCGGTGGGGAGTCGGCGCATGCGCAGAACCCGTCTTCGTTCTTTTTCCTTCCCCCTTTAGTAGGGAGCAAGGGTTTCTGGGAGTGTTCGGGAAGTGATTGGCGTTTCCCCGGCGCCGTGCGCGGTGCTGATGAGCGGAGCCGCCTGGGTTTGGTGCTGGGGCTGCAGGCGGGCCCCTCGGACTGGCTGATACCCAAGCGGCAGTGACGTAAGTCAGAACGCCCGTGGGTGCTCCCGCAGGTGAGGGAGAGGCAGCTTTATGGGGAGCGCACAGCAGGCTGAGCGTGGGTCTTGAGTGCGCTGTGTCCCGCGCCCGGCTTTCCGCGGCTCTGAGGCCCGTGCTGCTCTGTGAGCTGCTGTGTGTGGCTTACGTGGTACCAGGTTCCTGCCTTGAAGTCTGGGCGGTGTACAGGAGGTTGGCCTGCAGAAGTGACGGCCAGACTCGGCCAGACCGTCTGTCAGTTTGTAGATCTTACTCCTGCACCGCACAGGGCAGTGGTGCGTTGTTTCCGGGACACAACCCTGGAATTGGTGCTTGTTCTTGATTGCCAGCTTTACGAGACAGCACAGGCTCCTCTTCCTTCTTACAAATGCGAGGCAGGGTCCTGGGTTCCTGTGGCTTTCAGCCCTGGCGTGGCAGCAGTGGCTAGGCACCAAAGGTCGTGGCGTCTCCGCTGGACGTGGTTGTGTGGCCCACGTGGAGTTGCTCTTACACCTGCACATGCTACGAAGCACATCCCAGGACTCCTGCTCACTCCTCTTGTAAATGCGCGCATGCGTGGCGCCCGACGTCAGATCCGGGGCTTGGCCTACGTGCTGGGCAGGCACCCCACCGCTACACCCAGCCGCCTCTTCCTTTCTCAGTAAGTCTGTGTGGTGTCTCTAGAATGCTTGCTTCCCAGAAGAGAGTCTCGGTTTATTCATGTTCTAGGTCAGGTTAGGGGCTGGAGGATTTAAAACTCTGGTGTTTAATTCTGGTTTGAATTAACTGTTTCTTTTGCATTTTAGACTCATTTGTATTTTCCCAAGAAATAATTCTATTTCTGAACTTAATATCATTGGGCATTTTGAGTCTATGACATAATGCCATTATAATTTAGGTTAAAATCTATTCCTACTTAAATAAAACAAAATAAATCATTTATAGTATTAAAAAAGAAAAAATTTGGAAACATTGGCCACCTAGGAAGGAGAAGTTGTTGGCTAAATCTCCGTCATCGTTTCAGGTGATTCTGATCAGTCCAACTCTGTTAATGGCATAGGACAGTCGTTACCGTCCGCAGTAGGGAATTTCTACCTGGCCCTCTGGAGATTACGGGGGATTTAGTACCACTGGGCAAGAAAGTTCGGTTCAGTTTGAGAGCTAACTTTAGCTACTTTAAATTTTTGCTTATGTTAATAACAGTAACGTTTTTGTGAAAAAGTTTATGTTCATTAAATAAAATTTTTAAAAAAAATTGTTCCTGTCACCTGCAAAATATCAGTATAGGAGCAAATTAAAAATACAATTCTCTCCTTGCAAATTCATGCATGTTCTTCAGTTAAGTTTAGGGAAAAACAGTAGTTAACATGCATGTTCTCACCTCGTTCTCACTTCAGTAACTTGCACTGGGGAACTGCCCTGTGCCCTGAATGTTTCCGCCTGAGACAGAGTGGAGACTCCGACAGCAGCCCCTTGCTCACCAGCTGCTGCTCTGAGGCCGTAGTTTTGATTCGCCCTAAATAAGCCCTGGGCTTGGAGCTGGGCTCAGGGTGACTGGCAGCATCCCGGTCTCCAGCAAGGAGGAGGGCCCCAGAATGTGTGTGCTGGGAAGGCCTCTGAGTGAAGGGCAGAGCTTTATGACCACGTAATCGCTTTGTGAAAGTGCAGCCGTGGGAAGGAGGCAAGTGGGTAAGGTCGCAGTACACGTGGTTTCCCCACCTTTATCACCAGTGGCTGGAACCCACCTTTAAGTTACAAGTTAGCTGCGTTTGCGTATGGCTGGGATGTTACCCGCAGAATACAAGGGAGGACCCTTAAATTTCCAAAGGCCAATTTGAATTTAGACTTCTTCCTCTTTTCTTTTCCTCCCTGGATAGTATTTAGTATCACAGAGAAATGCTTAGAAGGTTGGTTTTAAATATCTAAAAGCCTGGGCTGGGATGTAAGTGGTAGGGTGGTTACATATCTCGAGGCCCTGGGTTCGTTCGTTCTCTCGCTCTCTCTGTCTCTCTGTCTCTCTCTGTCTCTCTCTGTCTCTCTCTCACACACACACACACCCCCACCCACCCACCCCGGTAAAGCATGATCTCAATTTCCTTGTTTAAAAAATTGCTTGTAAGCAGGGTAAGGAAATTAGAGGGCCCAAGTGTGTTGCACAGACGCGTGTGAACTGTCTTACGTAGCTGTTTGTAGAGGAATGCAGTGATACGGGGAGAGGTACTGTGCACAACCACCCTGAGTCACTAAGCGGAGCTTGGCTCTTACTGCAGCCATGTCCCTGATATGAAAATACATTGAGCAGAACCATCAACTTCTGGCTCTTTCTAAGTTTCTCCTTCATCTTAGTGATCTGTAGCTTTTGACCACTTGCAGCGTTAACTTACGTATTTTTTTGTTTAGACAAGGTCTCACCATGCAGTTTAGGCTGGCCTCGAACTCACAGCAGTCTTGTTGTTTCAGCCTCCCCAGTGCTGGGATTATGAAGTGTGCACCACCACCTGGCTTAATTTACATTTTTTTTGTCAGATGATCTTGGCAGATTTTGTTTGAACAGGTATCTTTATTTTGTAATTCATTACAGTTACCTCAAGTTTCTAGATTAGATGTCTCTTTAGTTTTATTGAAAATTTTGTTTTTGAAATTCTGTCATTTTTTGGTGACATTCAGTCTCTCAGAGTACAGTGAAGAGAAAGATTCCTCTTTGTGAAACAAAACGTATAAAGTTGAATTTGAATTAGTTTGGATTACGAGGATGTTTTTACCTTTGAGATCTGCACTGTTATTTGTCATAATTTTGTTCTGTTTTTTTAACTTATTTGAAAAAATTGTAACATTGTGTACAGTTTGGCTGTTGAAATGCATATACATGGACAGTGGCTAAATTGAGTTTTAACATCTGCTCGTTTGGTTTTCTTTGCTGTGTAATTCCAGAGTTGTGCAGCTGAGTGCTGGGATTACAGGTGTGTGCCACCACGTCCAGCTCAGGCCTCCTTTTACAAAATGTTGCTTTTTTGGACAAATTGAAAATCTTTTTCTAGCTCCATCTGCCTTTGTAATACAGAAAAATATATTGGGCTGTTTTCTTGGTAAATGAAGTATGCAGCTTCATTTCCCATAACTTTTTTGAAATTGGATTTTAAAAAATTATTGCAGGATTGTTTTTCATTGGTGTGAATAACATGTATTTTTGTCATTTCTGAAACGTGTTATTATTCTAAAAGAAAACAAAACCAAGCAAACTTTCTTTCTCACTAAAATAAGACCTTTCTGAGTTTTATTAAAAATTTTTTTTAAACCGGATATGGTGGTGCATGCCTGTAATCCCAGCCCTTGGGAGGCTGAGGCAGGAGGATCATTTCAAGTTTGAGACCAGCCTGGGCTGCAGAGTGAGCCCAAGGCCAGCCTGGACTGCATATCGAGACACTCCCTCAAAAAAAAGACAAAGTTTTCTTTTGAGTTTGCAAATCAAGTGGGTGTAAGCCAGGTATGGTGGTGCTTACCTGTAATCCCAGCTACCTGAGAGCATGAGGCAGGAAGGTTGCAAGTTTGAGCCCACTTGGGCAAGAGATCCTGTCTCAGAATAGAACAGAACAGAAAATTTTTGAAAGTGCTAGGATTGTAGCTCAGTGGTAGATTACGTGCCTAACATTCGTGAGGCTCTAGGTTCTGTCCATAGCACTCAAAAAAAAGAAGTCAAGAAGGAAGATTACATTTCTTCCTGTAATAAAATATTACATATATAAGTGAATTCATCTTTATAAGAAAATGTGATTTAAAAAAACTTTCATTATAGATGATTTACTGAATTTAATAGGATTTTGCAGTTGCTTTAATAACATGCCAAGAGCAAAATTGGAATCTTCCTTTGGTACTTTTATATACTCAGTGCAGACTTCCATTCCATATAACTAAGTCATACTTGAAATACAATTTTAAAATTTCATTGAGTTTCCTGATGTTTAGGAATACGAAAAGCCTAGCTTCATTAAGGTTGAATTTGCCTTCTAAAATGGTTGTGGAAGTACTCATCTATAAAGGTTGGGTTACTTACTCACTTCTTTTCTTTCTTTCTTTGTGTTTCTTGTTTTGAGGGAGGGCTCTGGGTTAATCCAGGCTGGCATTGATCTTGAGATGCTCCTGCCTCAGTCTCTTGATGCTGGCATTACAGGTGTGGGGTTGGAATGTCAAAGAATCTCGAAAGATCTGGATGGAATGCTTTAGTTCAAAGCTGTAAGGACGATTCCATTGGGCGCAGGTTGGTACACAGACCTGGCCACTGCAGGGTGAAAGCAAGCCTGATGTTGAATTTCTTTGTTGCCTTTACTTCCTGTTTACCAGGGGCAAGCTGTTGTTCCCATTGTTTATAAAGGAAAGCATGGCATCTCTCAGTTCAGGCATGATGAGTATCAGTTTTTCCCAGAGCTGAATTTTCAAGTTGCTGTTTTGACCTCTGTGTATCTTCCCCAAGCCATGCCCAATCCTGTTCTCAGGCTGCTGGGCCACCCTGACGTCATACGGCTTGCCGGGCACTGTGCCGCATGCCTCCTCCGTCACTCTGGGGTGTACGGGGCGGACACTCAGATGCACGTGCCCTCAGGGCAGGGATCTTGATGGGGTTTATCCGGGACCTAGAACAGGGCCCAGGCCCTGGAGGGGCGCAGTGGGGTTTGAACAGGAGCCTGGAATCTCAACAGAGGGCCTGGCCGGGTCTCAGAGCCGCTCTAGCACGTGTGCGGGGTTGTGTAAATAGAGTGAGATTCAGAACTTGCGCTGAATGTCATGGTCCAAGCTCACACTCTAGGTTGGCCTTGCTTCTGGCGTATGGGTCTGGACGTGGTCCTGAAGGGACTGCATGAGCTCTGAAGGAGCTTTTCTTCCCTTTTAAAACATTTTTGAGACAGGATCTTGTTAAGTAGCCCGGGCTGGCCTTGAGTTTGCAGTTTCCCTGCCTCAGCCTCCCGAGTGCCGGAGTTGCAGGTGTGTGCCATCACCCCTGGCTGTCTTGTTTTTGAGCGAAGAATCCTGTGATAAATAAAAACTGTTAGGAAAGCATCTTGCAGGGCGGACCATGTGAGTTGCAGAGCAGAGTTGGGGCAGTCAGACCCTTGTATCACTAGCACGGAGGGAGGCCGTGAGGTGGGAGTGAAACAGTGTCAGCAGGGACAGTGACAGATTTTAGGGGTAGAACGGACAGAATGGGATGATGGAATCGGGCGGAAATTGGCGAAGGAAGGTCATTAGGAGGCTTTGAGCTTAGGTGCTGTACCTGGGTAGAACATAGAGCTATAGAGGCGATCCGGAGAAGCGTTTTATTTTCTCTGTCTTTCTATTTTTCGTTCTGCGGTGGAACTCTGGGCCTTGTGTGAGCCAGCCAAGTGCTCTGAGACCAAGCCACCCCAGTCCCTTTCCGTGTCAGAGGCGAGGTGTGTGCCGGGTCAGTCGCACATTCCTTACGGCGAATCGAAGATGAGGGCAGCGGCCTCGCGAGTGACTGCAGATGCGGCTGTGGCTGGGGAGAAGGGCGGGGCAGCTGGAGCTGGTGCTGTAACACCGCTTGCTGTTCTCACAGCTGTGAGTTGTCATGTGCCTTCCCTACCCAGCCAGACCGTGGAGCACGTCGCCCAGCTGGTGGAGCAGCACGGCAGCGACGTCTGGTGGACGCTGCCCCCCGAGCAGCTGCTCCCGCAGGACGTCCTGTCCCAGGTGCGTTGCGTGGCCTGTGACGGCCCTGCGTGTGCCGCAAGGCAGGGGCAGGGGGAGGTTCTACCGGCAGGGGAAGTTGGGGAACTTAGTCGGTGTGGGTTAGAAACTGACGGAGTCTCAGGGGACGTTTTGCTGAGGGTAGAAGCAAGTTACTTAGCAGCGTTAGCGTCAGTTGTCATCTCCGTGGGGCTGGGCAGACTGCAGCGGGCCGTGACCGAGAGGGCACTGTGCCGAGCGTGGGCAGTCAGGACCAGGTAGGGCGTGTGGAGTGAACCGATGGCGTCTGACGTCACACCCCCAGCGGGCGCCCCTGGGACTGTGCCCAGCTGCCCTTCCCATCGGCCCGCTCGAGGTCAGGGCCGCGGCTGCTGATGCTCACAGGCCCTGCGCTGAGCCGCACCCGCCTTGAGGCACTGCAGGTTGTACTTGGGGCGCGGCTGAGTGGTTTTGAGTGCTTGTGCTCCGCGGTCATCAGACTTTCGGGTGCTGTTGTGTGAACTCGGGCTCCGTGTAAGTGCTTCTCCTTGCCTCCTAGGTTGGCGGTCCCGATGGCTTGGAGTACCTGCCTGGCCAGGACATCCTGGACATCTGGTTCGACAGCGGAACCTCATGGTCTTGTGTTCTTCCAGGTGATTCCTGAAATTGATTACATGCAGAAAATAGAGTGTTACTTGTAAGAGATGTATAAGCAAAAAAGAATTCTGGTTTATTTGGAAGTAGTTCTCCTACTATAATTTAGACATGGAAGGATCCTGGGAGGTCATTTCACCCAGGGCTTTCCAGACTCCCATCTTTCAAGATGAAATTTTATATAGAAATGGGGATTCTCGCGCTTCCCTGTACCGTCTCATTCTCCCTGGCCCTCTCGGCAGCCCTATGGCACTCATTTTTATAAAACAAACGCTGGGAGGCCCTGGAAGGTTCTGCCCCATCCTTCTCCAGGGAGCAGAGGAGGTTCGGTGAGAGCCGAGGTAGCTCGCTCTCGGCAAGGCGGGCTGAGCCCAGAGAAGCGTTGCACTTTAACTGCGGAGAGCGGCTCTGCTCCAGGAGTCAGGAGGGGAAGTGGAGGAAGTGAGCAGAGATGTGGTCACTGCTTGGGGGAGCTCCTCAGGGTCTTAGGGGGCTGTGGAAGGAAGGGCCGGCCTGGCCTCAGTGCGGAGTAGGGGACAGGAGCAGGGATGTCACACAGCTCCCCACGCGCCTGCGGGTGCCGCCTGTGACGGACGGGGCCTCGGCTGTGCGGGAGCACAGCAGCGGGAGGGGCTCCTCTGCAGCGGCTGTGGTGTGCACCCCAGTCCCCGAGTCAGGGTGCAAAGTGGTTCCCAGCGGGAGCGGCCTTACTGCGTCTGTCCCTTCTTCCAGCGTAGGACGTTCGGGAAGCAGAATGCACGTAAATCTGCGCATATTCTCCGTTACAGCGGACACGTGCGTAATGGCCCATCAGGCCACACGACTCCCTGGAGCCTTCCCCGTCCTTTCTGCGTTATGTCTGTGGTGCTGAGGGTGGGCCCGAGCCGCACCTGGCCCGATGGTCACAATGGTCTGAGCAGTCACTTTCGGTCTCCCTGTGCTTGTCTTCCTGGCCTGTGTCAGCTGGACGCGCCCCCTGAGCGCGTGTCGTGGGCGCACCCCTGGCTCACCTCGGCTGGTGTCCGGCCGGGTAGATTTGGCTTACAGAGTGCGGAAGAGAGCCAGTTTGACTTGCCGCAGACTTGACGGCAGTGAAGCAGGTGTGGCTTACACATTTTGACAGCAGGTCGAAGGGCCCGTTTCATTGCCAGTTCAGACTGCACAAACCCCAAGCAGAGGAAAGATGAAGGTTTCTGGAGGGGAATGGCGTTTTTAAGTGGATCATTCTGTAGGTTATGAGGTGTATCTACGAGGTGTGATAAAAACGCAGTGGGTTTAAATTCAGTTTTACAGTGAAGGGCACGCAGCCTCTCCCATCAGCGCGTGTGCCACAGCGCCAGCCCTGCAGCGACGCCTCGTCAGCCCCAGGCCTGGTTTACAGCATGGGGCGCTCTCGGGCGACGCGGCCCGAGCCCCTTCCCTGCCTCTCCCGGTTCCTGGGGATCCCTGCCTTTCAGGGTGGCTGTGGCATTGCCTGTCCGGGAACATCACGCTGTTGGGCCCTTGCTGCGTGCAGCCCTCTGACCCCGCACGTGCTGAGCTCCTGCGAGCCTCGGCCTGCTCAGAGCCCCGAGGCTGCTGAGCTCTGAGTAGTGTCCCGTGCCGAATATGGCAGGCCCATTTCCCTGCAGTGGTGTTTCGGAGTCCTCGTTATTGCGGTAGAATACTGTCTTCTACTTCCTTTCTAACTTTTTTTTTGTTTTTACAAAAAATAAGTTGAAGAAATAGAGGAAACAGTTATGTTCTAAAGAAAATTAGACTTAGGACTCAGGCTTGTAAATAGCTTTTCTTGACTTTTAAGGACATGTACAGTACTACATCGGAAACAGTAATTTTAAAAATTAATTACATTTTATTAGTTTGAGTGGTTTTTGGTTTATTTTCAGGTAAACATTGGTCGAGCAGAAAAGCTTTGCCGTATTTGCTTATGCTGAGTCTGTAGTTTGTCTTAGTTAAGTATAGTAACCTTGCTTAGAATTCATCAGTTCATCTGGGTTAAACAAATTTATTTATAAATCAGTCATGGATGATTCAGTTTTTTTCTGATTGCCTCTTTAAGGGTAATTTTTTAAACACTGGTTTATTCTTTAAATTACTCCTGACCTCCTTATAATCCCAGAGGTACTGAATGGTTTGTGAGTCTATAATTTGGTTCAGAGCTGAAGCTGCTGCGTAGAGACACGGTTCTCACAGCCGGTGAAGCGCTGGCTTCCTGGCGTTGCACTGCAGACGTGACGCTGAGCCACACGTAATCTGCAGGTTGTTCTTTCACCAAGAGGTCTACTCAGGAAGGAAGAAGGGTAACAATTAAAAACGAAAAGGAGCAGAAGAAAGTCTACACCATTCCTCCCCCTTGTACACACTCAGGAGTGTGATTGGCACCGTCTTCTGGAAAGGGTTTTTAAGTTAATTAACTTTAACATTTATTTTATTTTAATGTATTGTACTAGGGATCAAAGTCAGGGCCTTTGTGCTGAGCTACATCCCCATCCTTTTTTTAAAAAAATTTTTTTTCATTTTGAGATAGGGTCTCACCTAGTTGCCCAGGCTGACTTGGAACTCTTGATCCTCCTGCCTCAGCCTCAGAGTTTTAGAATTATAGGTGTGACCCAACATGCTTGGATCGTACAGTTTTTCAGTTTGTCCACCGTTTGACTGAGTCATTGTGAAATTAGAGGTTGACCGTTTGATCTTCTAAGCTCTTTTTTAAAAAATAATGGAGCCAGGTGCATTCAAGTGCCTGGTGAAGGGCGTGTGCCCGAGTCTGTGTTGCCCGGGTTCCAGCTGCAGTTGATGGTGCTGCCTGCAGGCCAGGCGGGCTCTGCGGCCTCTGCTCACGGTCTCTGTGGCCGTGCAGGGAGATCTGCCCACCTGGTCCGAGCCTGTGAGGTGGTGGGTTGGTGGCAGGGGGACGTTTGTTGAATTAATGAAACCATCATTTATTCATGACAGATTTACTGGAAACAGCAGTAACTGTTCCAGAGCAGCCCCTCATTGAGCTTGCACCCCAGTTAGCTGCGCCTCTGGGATGACCCTTGTCCAGGGTGATACAGAGGCCGAGGGTGACAGCCCGGGCGAAGGCAGTTGAGCAGCAGGACACATGAAACAACCACGCTACCCATCATTTTGACGTTTTGGGTATGTTTGTGGCTCGTCCTCTATGTTCGTTAACTCCATGTGTGTCTTGTAATACTTCAAGGCCCTGACTCCAGAGCAGATCTGTACCTGGAAGGCAAGGACCAGCTGGGCGGTTGGTTCCAGTCGTCCTTGCTGACGAGCGTCGCGGCGAGGAAGAAGGCCCCATTTAAGTGAGTACACAGTGTTGCCGCGCTGCCTCTGCCTGCGCTTGTGTTAACTTTAAATCCTTGTCAGTATGATCAGGCACTGCAGTCTCCTGTCCCACTAGAGAAAGAAGGATTTTGTCTTTTTTTTAAAGACAGGGTCCCACTATGCAGTTCAGGCTGGACTTGAGCTCACTTTGTAGCCCAGGCTGGTCTCGGACTCGCAACGATCGTCCTGCCTCAGCCTCCCGAGTGCTGGGTTGACAGCTGTGTGCTACCACGCCCCAGAAAGAATAATTTTGGAAAGTGAAGACCAGGCAGTTCAGTGGCGCCCCGCCGCTCTTTGAATGAGACTGAGGAGGAGCAGAGCGTTCAGGCCGGGCAGCCAGGCAGCCCGGTGTGCAGGTGTCGGGCGCCAGCAGGAGGCAGTGGCTGCGTGGCCTCACTGGGGAGTCTGTTGCAGAGCACACGGCTGCTTGCCTTATCAGATTGACAGGCAGGCCTCAGTTAGATCTTGAAGTAGCTGCCGTTTCCAGAACACAACATGGGTGTTTCGTTTTGTTTTTGGGGTCAGAACTGGGGATGGAGCCCTGGGCCTTCACGCCCATCTCCACACTGAGCCTTTGGAAATTTTTTGTTTCAAGGCCACGCCTCGCTAAGTTGCTCTTGTTTCCCAGGCTGGGTTCAAATTTGTGATCCTCCTGCCTCAGCCTCCCAGAGTGCTGGATGTACAGGCGTGTCACACTGTTACTTAGGTAACATTTAAAAACCAGCAGAGCAGCATGCACTGTTTCTCTCAAATTCTTAGTCGGGTGGTTTTGAGGGGCCTGCTCCTTTGAGGCCTGCTTTCCTGGGGCGGGTTCCCCGGTGAGCGTCAGTGCTTCTCCAGGGCTGGCGGAGCTCTGGTCGGGAGCCCTTGCCAGCCCACTGAGGTCCTGGACCCAAAGCGGGGAGGGTGGGGCGCGCGGGAAGGCCCGGAGGGCGCGCTCAGCGAGAGGAGAGGCTGCCCCCGGGGCCGGCCTGCTCTCAGGCGTCACGGCCGGACGTCCTCGCTCGGCCCAGCCACAGGGGTCTTCAAGGCTGTGAGTGCCGCGTGCCCCTGAGGCGCTGACTTGCCTCCTCAGGACAGTGTTGGTCCACGGCTTCACCCTCGGAGAGAAGGGGGAGAAGATGTCCAAGTCCCTCGGCAACGTCATCGACCCCGACGTCGTCATCAACGGGGGACCGGTAGGTACTGCTCTCGGACTCCGTCCGGTCTCGTGTTAAGGCCCCCGCATTGGTGGCCCAGACTCCCGATACGGTCATTGTAGTGTGAAAATGCAAGCACGACGCGCAGCTCGTCTTCTCTGTTCCCAGACGTGCTGGACTCGGTGGCAGCCGCCCCTGGGGCCAGCTCCTCAGGAGGCTGAGGCAGGATGCCTGAGCCTGGGAGCTTGAGGCCAGCTTGGGCAACAGCGGAGACCTGTCCCCGCAGACAGAAGCACCATGTTTTAAATCTCAGTGCTTACATAGTGCGTGGTATTAATGAGAGCGGAAGGAGCCGGACGTGGTCCTTGGCCCGGTCCAGTCAGACTCGGCCAGGCCTGAGCCCGCGGTTTCCAGAGCCGTCCGAGCCGCTGAGAGGGAAGGCGCCCCGCGCAGGTGGCCGCGAGTCCTGTGGGCAGCAGCGAGGCGCCTCTTCCGCGCAGTGCGCCGTGAGGTCGCAGAACCCTGCGCCTTGCGTTTGTGGCCGGGTGCGGGCGCTGGGGTCTGGAGCGCTGTACTCGGGGTGGCATGGAGTTCCTGTGCCTGTCACTCGCTCCGGGCTCTTTGCCGTCCCCTCCTGTGCTGCGCTGCCCATGGGTGCCGGGGACAGGGCGAGGGCAGCGGGAGCCATCCGCAGCGCGTGTGCCCGTGGGCGGGGACAGTGGCCAGGAGGACCCGCGCGCGGCCTGTGCAGCCTCCCTCGCGGTCGCGGCTGCTCAGTCTCGGGGCGCAGACGCTTCCCCACGGGGCTCCTGGGAGCGGCGGCTGACGCCCACCCGGCCCCTCTGTTCTTGGTTTCCCCGCATGAAGGATCAGAGCGCAGAGCCTCCCTACGGGGCGGATGTCCTCCGCTGGTGGGTGGCCGAGTCCAACGTCTTCACGGAAGTGACCCTCGGGCCGTCGGCGCTGAACGCGGCCAGGGAGGACGTCAGCAAGGTCAGAGCCGCCGCGCCTTCTGCAGTAGGCGCTCGCCGGTCAGCGCGGCCGCCCACGGGCCGAGCGCTGGGGGTGCCGTGTCCGTGTGCGCGGGGCCGGCGCCGCTGCGGGTGCTGGGGGTTCCTGCCGCCACATGCGGTGCGGGCTGCGGGGAGGTACGTCACCGCCTCGTGACGTCACGTACAGGCCGCTCGCCTTTATTTCCCCTGTGAGTCAGTAAAGTAACCTCTCCTCACCTGCACACAGCGAGACGGCGGAGAGGCTGTGCGTTGTGAAGCTGTAAAGAAGCACAATGAAAGTTCACCGTGTAGGCCTGGGATCCAGGGGTGGTTTCTGCAGCCGGGCTGGGAGGATGAGTTTGTGCCTTCATTCCTGATTGAGGAATGAGAGAATAAAAAACTTGCCCAGTAAGAGCGACAAAAGTCGGATGGAAACTAGCGCTATAAAAGGACTTTCTGGTGAGACTCGAAGGCCGCCTAAGTTGTGTTTGCCTGTACCTTTTCCCTCACGGCAACAGCTTAGGAACACACTGCGCTTTCTCTTGGGAAACGTGGCTGGCTTCAACCCCGAGACGGACTCCGTGCCTGTGGACGGCATGTACGTCATCGACCAGTACATGCTGCACCTGCTGCAGGGCTTAGCCAGCAAGGTGGGTGTGGGTCAGAAGCGGATGGGAAGTGGGTTCCTTTCATCTGCATAAAAAGCACCTCGCACGTACCAGCGCCGGGAGCAGCCTCGGGCGGAATCCTACCTGCTGCATTCTGACGCTGCGTGGGTGTCACGCCTCGGCACCCCGGGGACTAGAGCTGAGGGAGCGAGGGCCTGGCCTTCTCTTGCAGACTGTGCCCGGGTCAGCTCTTCTGCAGCGAAGGAAGGAAGCTGCAGGGTCGGTGTCTGCAGATAGAGCCTTACAGTAGAGAGCAGCGGCTCTTGCTGGGCCTCGAAGACACTCCCGCTGTACACAGGGACACAGCAGTCAGCGTCCCAGATGTTGGAAATGCGCGTCCCAGTGTACCAGTCAGGGCACCCACGTCAGCGTTCGCTCAAATCGAGAAAAGTGAGAGAACGTGAAGGAATTGTAGGTGACCCTCACTGCTGTTAGGTCAGTGTGATCAGGCCGGGTATGGTGGCACGTGCCTATAATCCCAGTGAGACAGAGGCCAGCCTGGACTACACCGCGAGACCCTGTCCCAAGAAAAACCAAAAAACCCCAAAAATCAGAATAAAAAGGTGTGACTGTTACCACATAAACTGGAGGGCCGGGTGTCCCCCGTGGGACAGGAGAGCCCCTGCCTTGCACACTCAGGCCTGGGGTCCACCCCCAGCACTGCAGAAACCCAGCTCCCAGAGCGCACGAGTCTTTGCTACGTGCTGTGGAGTTTGTTGCCCAGAAATGAACACGAACCGCAAGTGCCTAAGGCACGCATGCCGTGTTCCTGTCCTGCTTTCACTTGCTCCTCACTTCCAGACTACCTTCCTTCGTTCTCCAGGTTACTGACGCCTACAAGCAGTATGATTTTGGAAAAGTTGTCCGACTGCTCCAGGCGTTTTACACGAGGGAGCTCTCCAACTTTTATTTCAGCATCATCAAGGATCGGTATGTGAGGCTCAGCCGGGGCCCTCAGGAGGCTTTGGTGAGGGCCGGCAGAGGCCAGGGCGGGAGGGACGCCCGCTTACGCTTTGTGCCCTGCCACCTGCTTGCTGCGTGGCTTCTCCGTCAGCCCAGTGGGGATGGTCACGCCCAGCTCCTGCTGTGGTGATGGGAGGGAACAGCGACCTGAACTTGGTGCTTGGTGCTGTGTGAGACTGCCCTGCCCGGGGCCGTCCTGTCTCTGTCGCCGTGCGCAGGGGACGGCTGACTCTGGTCCTCTCCGCAGGCTGTACTGTGAGAAGGAGGACGACCCCAAGCGCCGCTCCTGCCAGACGGCGCTGGCGCAGATCCTGGACGTGCTGGTGCGCGCCTTTGCGCCCATCCTCCCGCACCTGGCCGAGGAAGTCTTCCAGCACCTGCCCTACGGCGCAGGTGAGGTGCTCGCCACCTGCAGGCCACTTTGCCCGCTGGCAGACGGGAGACAGTGGCTTTGCGCCCACTCCGGTGCCTTCGGAAGTGTGTTGCAGCTTGGTGATTTAAGTTACTTTTCCTCAAGCGTGTTTCATGTCCCAAGATATGTTTTAAGGTTCATTGAAATACGTGGGTGAGTACTTCTACAAGTTCTCGTCCCTCCGCTGTGTCACTCGAGGGAAGACTGGGAGGTAGTTAGAAAGATGAAGAGTCCACTTTGAAGATACCAAAGTATAGTACAACAACTCTTGATAATCTCCTACCTCTTTTGTCTCTAACTCACTATTATTTGTCTGTTTGTTTTCCTGAGAAACTATTTTGTAGATAATAATATGTAAAACGATAACCATTGATAATTTCCTACCATTTTGTCTGTAATTTGCTAAGTCCCTCCTATTATTATGTTATCCTTCTTTTATTCTTTAAAATAAAAAAAAATAAATAAACGATAACAAGGAAATATGAACAAAAAAGAAAGATGAAGAGTCAGGAGGTAGTCCTAACCTGACACCCACTCGGTAGCTGTGACGGTGTCTGTCGTCACCTTCTGCGCTTCCGTGTCCTGTGAGACTGATGTCTCCCCGCGTGACGTGTGAGTGGGTGCCTGTGACATTTCCACGCGATTCTCACAGCACCTAGTGGCGCGGGCTTCAGAAACACCCGGCTGTATGTGAGCTGTCCATCTTGCACTTTCCAGAGCCCAGGAGTGTCTTCCGCACTGGCTGGATCAGTACCAGCTCCATCTGGAAGAAGCCCGGGCTGGAGGAGGCCGTGGAGAGCGCGTGTGCGATGCGAGATTCGTTTCTCGGAAGCATCCCGGGCAAAAACGCAGCCGAGTATGAGGTCACCATCGTGATCGAGCCCGGCCTGCTCTTTGAGATCATAGAGGTACGCGGCCGTTGGCGGGTTTGTTCCTTTCATGCGCTAGAAGGATTCTACAGCTCCACCTGGAGTGTAGGCATTTTTTCATTAAAAATGCCTAAAATTTCTTTTTTGAGAAGCTGGGGATTGAACCCTGGGCCTTCATACCAAGCTACGTCCCAGCCCCTTTTCATTTGTGAGACAGGGTCTCCCTAAGTTGTGTAGTTTCCCAGGCTGGACTGGAACTTTCAATCCTCCCAGAGTTCTGGGATTATAGGCATGCACCTCCACACCCAGGTAGTAAACTTTCTCGTTAATTTTGAAATTAAGATTGCAGTCTAATCCTGATGTATCTCTGATTCTATTCCCTGCATCTCTGTGTCCCTTTTCATCTTGTGAGAAGACGTGTTCCACACACCTACTCCACAGGGCCAGGGAGGGCGTAGTGCGTAGTGCAGTTCCTCTGCAGCTGAGCGCCTGGGGCTGCTTAGGTGAGTCAGTTACCCACACAGCAGCGTGAGAACACGTAACAACTGGGAGAGAGGTCTGTCCCAAACAGATCCAGAGTGATGCCATTTCTTCCTGGAGCCTGCAGAAAAGTGCTTGGTTCCGGCAGGTGAGGACACACATCTCACAACACTCGTCTGGCTTTATGGGCCTTGGGCTGGTTCGGCCAGATTAGCGGGAAACACACTGACTTGAGATTTTTCTCTAGAGAAGAGACTTGGCGTAGATATACTTTCTAAAAGCTTTATTGGTATCATTTTTTTTAAAAAACGGAAATTAGAGGAATTTAATACACATACAATAGCAATAAAATGGATAACTCTTAACAAAACTGAACATGAAATTTACCTATGTCATGAATGAAATAAGGTACTATTACAGAACTTGCAGAAGTTAAAGTATTAATAATTTTTTTGAGATAGGGTCTCAATATGTAGTTCAGGCTGGCCTTGAACTTACTGTGTCACCCAGTCTGGCCTTGAACTTGAGGTGACCTTCCTGCCTCGGCCTCCTGAGTGCTGAGATGGCAGATGTGCGCCGCCACAGCCAGCTGTCAGTTTTCTAACACAGTAACCGCCTTGTTCGGGTGAGTGCAGGGTGACCTTTGGTCGCGGAGTGAGAGCGTTGGGATAGGAGGGTCGCAGCAGCAGCAGGTGCAGTCTCCTTAGAGGGATGTGTGTTCGCTCATGGACTCACTTGGAAGATGAAGTGACTGCAAACCGGAAGTGTCTGACAGATGGCCCCAGCAGTGTGTGATGCTCAGACTGCCCCTGCAGTGCTCTGATGGCCTCTGCCCTTCGGCTACCCCTGCGGTGCAGGAAGAACACCGGACATGGCCTCCCTTGTCTGAGAAGCAGGCTCCACAGCTGCTGGGCCGGCATCACTTCGGGGTTTGTTGGGAATCCGGCCCCAGTGGCCCACTCCTGCTTTTCCGTGTCTCCCCCTGCTGTGCGGGTCAGAGCAGCCCGAGGATCGCAGCTCCAGCGGCCTGCGCTGCGCCTCCCGGCCCTGCGAAGCCCATGGGCGCGGCCGCTTATGGCGTCCTTGGGAGTTGAGCTGATGGAGGTGTCACCTGGATGGCCAAGGGGAAGAGCTTTGTGGATGGCATGGACTCAGGAGGTGATGGGAGAGAAAACGGCGCTGCTTGCCACACCCAGGCCTGCAGCTCCTGCCGCAGTCCACAGAGAGCACGTCATGTTTCGGCAGCACTGGGCTGGAGCCGGGCCTCCCTGAGGCAGGTGCTTACGGCCCAGCTGTGCTGGCTCTGCCGCATGTCCTGACGGCGCCTTGTTCTCTGCTTCTCCCAGATGCTGCAGGCCGAGGAGACGTCCAGCTCCTCGCAGCTGAGCGAGCTCATGATGGCCTCCCAGTGCACACTGCTCGCCCAGGAGCCCCGGCAGAGGCCCCCAGACGTGACCGAGCTCGGGGGGACCTTCCTCATCAACTTGGAAGGTGAGGCAGGCACAGCAGCAGACCCTTGTAGGTCCTCTGCAGCCTCACGGGGCTGGGTCAGTGGACAAGTGGAGTCCACTTGGATACAGCTTCCACGGAAGCAGAAACGGCCGCTGGGTGTCCCGGGCCTGCACCTCTGTCCCCTCCGCACCCCGGCAGGAGCCGGAGAGGAGAGGCTGCTTCTGGACCTTGGAGGTCCCGTCCTGCCCATGCCTGTGTCCTGCAGGGGCTGCTGCCAGGGCTCTGAGCCTCTCCTGCTTGGCTCCCTTGGGCCACACAGGGTCCTGCCGTGGGCACCCTTGTCCCTGAGGCGCAGCAGGGTGGCTGGACAGAACACGTTTCCCAGGAAGGGTGAGGCTGCGTTTCTCCCGAGAGCTGGAGACCGTGGCTGGGCCCAGGTGCCAGCCAGGCTTGGCGGCGGTGGCAGCACTGTCCCTGCAGGACGGGCTGCAGCTCAGTCCGCCCCGGAGGCCACTGTGGTGGCTGCAGTCCGCCGTCCTCGGCTGCACTGCTCCTCAGCCTGAGGTCTGAGTTGTGGGAAGCGGTTTCCTTTATCCACCCGAGACCACAGCTGCCACTGCCGTCACCTGCCTGAGCTGCTCGGTTGAGGGTACATCCAGGGACAGCGTCACCGAGCGTGGCTGTCCAGGGTGGAGCTGGATGCGGAGCAGCTGCCCCGGTCTTCTTAGTGTCGCCCCACATCCCCGCCCTGGGTACCCTGTCGGGGCGGCATGGGAGGAGCCGAGTCATGCATGCTCCTGTCTGTCATCAGGTGGCGATATTCGCGAGGAGTCCGCCTACAAAGTGCTCGTCATGCCGGCCACCAAGGAGAAGTGCCCTCGCTGCTGGAAGTACACCGCGGAGTCTGCAGACACGCTGTGTCCCCGCTGCGCAGAGGTCGTTGGCGGGGAGTAGCCCGCTGGCGTCCCCTGCTTCCTGCATTCTGGGCAGTCACCTGCCAACACTGCTGAGAGGTTTGGATGAGTATTACAGTGTCACAGAGAAAGCCAAGGTTTAGGTAAGGAGTGGAAGAGAAAAGGTGAAGGAGAAGGGTCAGAATCAGAATTATGGAGCCAGACGAGGAGGTACACATCTGTAACCGCAGCCTTCAGGAGGCTGAGGCAGGAGGGTGGTGAGTTCAACACCAGTCTTGGCTACATAATGAGGCCTTGTCTGTAGGAAAACCAGAACACATCAGAATTATAAAAGCGTTTCCTGTACCTAACGTGTATATACATGTGGAATATATGTGCGGTATTTAGGTGTAGGTGTCCACCTGTGCGTACCCACAGTGGGTTCAGACCAAAGGCACTGATGTGCTTCCAGTGGGGCTGAACAGTCTGTTTCATAGAAGAATCCAGAGAATAAAGACTTCTAGCAAGCGACTGGCTGCTGGCGTGGGGCCGGGGGTTGGGGGCGCGCAGGGAGGGCTCCGCCGGGCACCTTACTCAGGGAGGTGGGAAGAAACGTCAGACACAGCGTGGGTGCTGAGGAGACCCCTCACCTCATGGAAGCTGCACGTTTGCTGGCTACACGTCGGCTCACAGTAACGCGGGGACAGTGCAGCAGTGTGTACAGTCTCACCGACCGCAGGGCACGGGCTGGAAGCCCCCTGGGTCTGAGGGTAGTGTTCCTGGAAGGTGTGGCCGAGAGCCCCTCCCTGCCGAGTGAGGGCAGCTCCCACGGGTGAACAGCTGCCGGAAACTCAGCATGACTGCAGCTTAGTTCCCGGGGCCTTAAACTGCAGAACGGACGGTGTTTACTTTGATCTCAGAAGTTTTTATTACCAAGCCTAGCATTTGGAAGCTTGGTGCTACCTCCCTCCGTCACCTGCGTCTCTGGACCCCTCTACTTGTGCCTCTACCACCGGGGGACATAGGGCCGCTGGTTCTGTGCCCGCCGCCTGTTCGCCCCAGTGTGGGCCGGCAGCGGGAGTGTCCGAACCTGCTGGTGCCAGCACCTGGTCAGGTTCATCCACGCAGTGCTGCCCTTAGTGAATGTAGATGAGATACAATTTTTTCTCGTTAACGTTTACGAGTTTTTTTTTTTTGTACTGGGAAAACTAGATTTTGGTCATTGGGTTTTTTTTTTGTTTGTTTGTTTTTCCTGTTTTTTTTTCCGATACCGGGAATCAAACTCATGACCTTGCACTTGCCAGGCAGGTGCTGTCCCGCCGAGCTAAATCCCCAGCCCCCTTTCTTGTTACATTTAAAAGGCCTTCATGAAATAGCAAAATATTTAACTGCTTAACCATAAAACTCTTGAACTTCAAGTCTATGATTTGTGTTAGGCTCTGTGAGCTGTTTGAGCTCAGTATTCTCAGCGACCCCCAGGTTTGATCATGTGACCTGAGTGTGTTTAACTAGTTCCATTATCTAAAACGCTGAATCAGTAGCCCCACGTGATCATGGAATTAAAGCAGAGTTTAGTCTTTATAAATGCCTGTAATTCCAAGTTCTCTGTACAGCCTCCTAAGTTCACCCGACTTTCAGAGTATCTGAAAACCACAGGCAGAGCCAGCCTCCGAGGACACATGCCACGGCGCCTCTGTGCAGGACGCTGGTGTGCTTCGGAGGGCGCTGGGGGCTGGCTGGGCCTCCTGGCCAACTCCAGGCCTGAGCGCCACATCCCAAGCACTTTTCTTTCGCAAGTGGGAACCTGACAGTTCAACAGTACCTTCAGCCAGCTGTGTTCTTATTGGATGTCATCTTCAGTGAAATGGAAGGTGCCCTGGGGTTTGCTTGAACACCGATTCTGTCTGTAATGCATGGGAGCGCTCCATTCCAGAGACAGACCCTAGCAAGACTGGGCTATTTAACTGCTTAACCATGCACTGTCGTCCTCAGAGTGCTTGGAGCGAGTTGGGAGGGCACTGGTTTGAAGCAGGAAGCACTAACTCGGCACACGGAGAGTCAGGCGCTGTGGGTACAGCATGAGCTGTTTCTCTTCTCAAGCCAGCTGTGAGCTAGGTTTGCAGAGCTCTAGCATCACTAAGCCTTCCTCCTGTCCTTTCCAAGGGCAGGTGGACACAGCAAATCTCAGAAGTAGACATACACTTGTAGGAAAAATAAAGTTGGACTTAAAACTCCCATTGTGTGTCTGGTTTTTTTACATAATAGTTTTACAAGATAATACATTTTTACAGTTACCTGATGTGGATACAGCTTTGGAACTTGGCAAAAACAGACTTACACTATAACTGATTGTGCTGGTTGATTGCATCTCAGACCTCACTCTTGGCAAATACTACAGATGAGAGCTTCCAGCTCGGGTCCCTGTGGCTCTCCAGCCCTTTCCTCCTCTGACGGCTGCATCACCTCTGAGACAGAGGCAGCGCGGTGCCCAGACTTGCTGGGGTGCAGCAGGACACTGTCTTCCTCAGCATTTCTGAAGGGACAGTAGGGGCCTTCTGTAACGGGCTAATGGGGTTGTACACAAACGCATTTAATTACAGCAGTAAGAGTTTGGATATAAAGTAGAGACAGTGAACGTACTTGGTGAGTTATAGCCAGTTTTAAATAGCAAAGTTTAACAATAAAGCTACTTACAGTTTGAATAAAAATAAACAGTAAACCGTCTGTGTCATTACGGTGTAACATTGTTCATAGTTCATCTTCAGGGGCAACCAAAGGAGTGGAGCTTGGCCAGGACTGCACTTTTTAAAAGTAATATATATTTTTATTTATCTTACAAAAAGACACACTCCACAGAGCTCTGGCCGCTGCTGTGTCGCACCCCCACGCCTGCTCTGTGCCGCTGCCAGTCCCGCTGCTGGGGGCCGCTGTCACGAAGGGGCTGTTGCCACGGCGGCCACGGCTTCGAGCAGGTGCAGGGCCAGGCTGTACTGCCCGTGGCTCTCGGGCAGGAGCTCAATGACTCGGTGCACCAGCCTGGCTGTCCTGGCGATTGGCACGTCAGGGTTCTGCAGGTCCTGAGGGTTCTGCAAGCGGACGCGGCCCGGCGTGGGGTCAGGGCCAGCGTGCAGGGCTCCCCACAGTCTTCCCGCCCTCCCGCCCGTGACCGTGGGACCTCACCATGGCCTTGAGCCACGTGCACAGCGTGGGCGGCAGCCGCGCCAGCAGCTCCATGCCCTCCCGGCTCTGCGTGTGCAGCAGCGTGTGCGCCAGCCTCTGCCCGCTCAGCATCAGCAGCTGCGAGGCCAGCACCTCCTTGTCCTGCACCTGCAGGGTGGCCTGGGGGACACGAGCAAGGGCGCGCTGAGGGCGGGAGAGTGGAAACCCGGGCCACTGAGCTGGGGGTGTAAAGGGCTCCGGACTAGGTTTTCTTCTCACCTACTTCCTGCCCAGCCACGTGTGAGCGGGATCGGGGGGCTGAAGGCCCTCGATGGGACAGCTGCTGAACCCTGATACCGTGGCGGGCGGCCTCAGCCTGCGGCGCACAGCCCCTCGCCTCGCACTGCCCCGGGGCCTGACCTAGCCGAGGGGCGCCCACCCCAGGCCTGTGTGCGCCAAGCGGCGGGCTGCTGCTCAGCCTTGGGGACTCCGCGCAGTCGTCGCTCCCCCGCCCCACCCTGGCTCCTGTCCACTCGAGCGTGACGGAACCGGCAGCTTCGTGCGGCTGGGCCAGCTCCACCCTGGGGCAGGCCAGGCGGCCGTGTACGCGCTCCACTCAGCTGCTCTGTTTCTGTGGGGACACTCGACTGGCTCCCTAACTCTCAGGGTGCCGGAGCCCACAGAGCGCTCGCAGGGTCAGCCGTACCTCTTCCCCCAAGTGGTCGGCGCCGTGGCTGTAGAGCTCGCTCACGTAGTGCCTTCTGATCACGTCCTCGCTGACCTGCAGGTGCTGAGCTAAGTCCACGGCCAGAGCCGGCCAGTCCTGGTCCTCACAAGGCGTGGTGGCCGCCTCTGCCTGGGCCGAGGGCGCTCTGTCCTGCGGGACTGCATGCTGGGCCTGGACGGCAGCGCTAACAAGTTTCAGCAAGAACTTGAAAACAGAGACACCGCGAGGCCTCGTTAGCGTTTCCCTGGAAATACCTACACCGAGGGCACACTGGCTTTTTGTTGGCCAGTCACTCTTCTGCCAGTGTCTTCGCTAGCAAAACAACAACATGCTAGTTTCTGAGCTGCTGGCTCCCGAGAGCACAGCTGTGTCCAGGACTCCGCCCGCCACGGAGCACGGATGAAAGCCAGGGGCGAGAATTTACCTGCTGTCGGATGGAAATAAAATTTGGGTCCATCTCCCCACTAGGTAATAACTGGATTGTAGTTAGGTCTTTGAAAAATGCGTTTTTTCCCTAAACAGAAGAGATCAAGAGAAGAGTGTAGGTTCTGGGAGAAAAAAACATTTGAAAGACAGCACCATTTATTCATGAGTGAGTCACAGCTGATTTTACTCTCCCTGCGATTTTAGAAGTGTATCCATTTACCTTGGGTGAATCACCTCGTCTAAGGCACGCAGCCCTCAGGGTGGGCCTCGAGGTCCCTTCCCTTTGATCGGGCTGGGGACCCAGGCAGAGGTGACAGATGTCACTTCTGAGGCTCAGGTATGTGAGCAAGCCTTGCAGCTCGGGCTCAGGGACGCAGCCGCGCCCAGACATCCCGCCCAGCGGGTGGCCGTGTGGTTGAGGACCAAGGACCAGCACCCTGCTGGCCCGGGAGCCGTCACCGTTGAAGATGACAGAGTCCAGACAGTTTGAGCACAGGGCAGGGACAGGGCAGTGCTCCTGGTTGAACACCAGCTGTGTGTGGGGCCCGTGGGGGCGCGGGGCTACAGGGCGAGGACGCCCAAGCGCAGCGTCCCCTCCAAGCGGGGCTGCAGCGGGCTGCTGGCCCTCGCACTGCTCAGCCATGACAGGGGCCCCTGCGGCAGTGCCCTGCGCGCTCCCCAGGTAGGCAACACCCCACTCTGTTGCAGGCTCCGAAACCAGGGTCTGCCCAGGAGAGGGGTGGGCGGCGCGGAGGCCTTGGCCCTGGGGACACAGATCGGGGGCCCGAGGCATGGGGGACCCGCCGCCGCCCGCAGAGCGCACCTTGCTGTCAAACAGGGCGAGCGGCTTCACGGCCTTCAGCGCGAAGCGCGCCACGGCGGCCAGCACGGCGCACAGCACGGAGTGGTGCTGCACCAGCGGGTAGTGCACGGGCTTCTGCTCCAGCGCCAGCTCCACGATGCACGTGGGCCCCTCCGCCGCCAGCCACGCGTCCTCGGTGTCCAGCACGGGTGCCAGCATCTCGTCCCTGCCCACGTCGGCCTGCAGTTCCCACGGAGGGCCGCGTCAGGCCCGGCAGGGCCCACGACAGCCCCCATGCTGCAGACCCCACCCCCGCCCACCCGGGACGGCTCCTGGCCGACTGCGCTCAGGCCGGGCCTGGGTGGGCATCGGGAAGGGAGTGGGCGACAGGAGCTCTCCTCGCCAGCGGGCTCACGCCCTGAGAGCTCCCGAGCATTTCCCACCGGAAAGTCACCTCCATCAAGGTCTGCAGGAGGTCCAAGCAGCAGCCCAGGAAGGGCGTCATCGCCGTGTCGCTCATGCCCACATCCTGTTTGGGAAGAGGACACCGTCAGCCCCGGAGCACCGCTGGGGGACACCCGAAGGCGACACGGCGCTCCGCTGACTCCCTGCTCTCACGGATGGGCAGCTGGCCGGAGACAAGGGCCCTGCCGACCCCTGCCGGCCCGCGGCCACTGCCCTCCTGGGGGATCTTCTAAAGCCACAAGCAGCGTTCCTCCCACGCCCGCGGTACAGAGCCCAGAGGGGAAGGCGCGCGTGCAGCACACACAGCCACGGCCGCAACTGATTCTTCAGCAGTGGGGACTTTTTCAGGACTGGTTTTCTTTGAAGACCAAGGACCTATGTCAGCGGGATTGGTGCATCTCACCATTTCTCAAGGTATTTGTGATAGTTCACTTCAGAGTTCTGAGCGAAAGCGAGCACTGTTAGTCACTGCCCCTGGAGCCCTATTGAAAGCCAGCACTGTATGTGTGCAATGGTGACCGCAGAGGGGGTCAGAGTTACCACTCGCAGGATACCGCCTGGACCTGATGCTTCTCTCTGCGCTTCTCACGTTGAGAAAACATTATACAGAAATGGTAGCACGCTGCCTTCCTGCACAGTCCAAAGGTGAAGGAACACGTCTACGCCAGCTGGCGTAAGCATGCTATCTACACTCCGCAAGGCTATTCATCATTTTCCTGCCCGTAGCTTTCTCTTCCCATTTTTCTTATCTTCTGACACACCATCAACATGGTAACAGGCAAGGTTCATCCTTGCAGTTAGTAAGCAAGGTAGCACAGAAAAGTGTGGGGTTCAGTTAAGAGAGACTCACCCTCCGGCATAATCTGTCCTTTGGTGATTTGCCAACCTATGACGAAAGGAAACAAGATGCTGCAATCAGTATTCTGATCTAAAAAGGCACTGGTATAGCAAAGGGAACCAGCTTTAAACAATGTGGTAACCTTTCCTTTACTACCTGGGTTCTACAGATAGTGACACAATTAGGTTTTTGGTGGTACTTAAAAATGAACTCAGAAACAATCCTTTTCAAAAGTGAACTATTTTAAGCTGGGTGTGGTGGCAGCATATGCCTGCACTCAGGAAGCTGAGGCAGGAGGATTGTTGCAAGTTCAAGAGGAGCCTGGGCTACAAAGTGAGCTCAAGGCCGACCCGAACTGCATAGCGAGACCCTGTCTCAAAAACAAAACAAAACAAAACAAAAAAGCCCCAACTATTTTGAACTATGAAGAAAAACTCAACCATCTGGCCTTCACTTTGCACAGTGGAACCGTGTCACCTTAGAAGCCCAGAGGCAAGTTCAGGATGGCCAATGGCAGCACCAAGGGATCTTGCTGCTGAGGAAGACCAACGGTGCTGGGAGTGACAGGAGGAAGGGACACGAAGGCGGCGGTGGTGGGGCAGTGGCAGTGGCACCAGCCCGAGGTCCTTGATGCGCTGCAGTGCGCCACGCGGAGCTGGGGTCTGCAGGAGGGCAGGGCAGACATGCGCCTGCAGGTCGCTGCGGGGCAGGGCCCTCCGTGCTGTGCTGACTCCAACTCACGCCTGGGACGACTGCCAGGTGGACAGACAGCCGCCCTCAAATGCTCCCCCCAGGCCACTCCTGAGCACGGAACTCCCTGCCCAGCACCGTGTCCTTGGTGTCTTCCACCTGCTCATCCCCCAGCCCTTGCCGTGCGAGCTCCGCAGTACACACAGCAGGGGGGCCTGAGGGCCAGCCGGCAAGCGAGTTCTCCGAGCCCAACTCCCTTTCCTTCGGGCCTGCCACACCCGGCGTAGGCTGCCACCTGCAGCTCTCTGGCTCCACCCTCTGCCTCTCACGGCAGGCTTCTTGCTGGATCGCTTCTTCTCACCCACTCACTGCTGGGTGGCAACGCTCCCATCTGCCAGAACCCAAGGCAGCCGCAGACCTCTCTGTTCTTGCTGCTGCTTCTCCTGAGTTCCCGGAACTCTACTGTCTACTGACCTTTTGGACCAAGAGCCTCTGAGGCCAGGCTGAGGCTTCATCTGTGACGGTACACACGGCACCTTGGAATGGGTCATCACAGAGCCCCAAGTCACAGCCGGGGCGATGCCGTGTGCCGGAACAGGGCTCCCCATAGGACCATGAACTGTAGAACATCCACCCGCTCTTCTTACTCGCTCACGGAGGGCGGCCAGCAGCCACAAGAACGGGAGGGCCGCACCACCAAGGCCCCAAGCTGCTGCCTCCGAGCAAGGACTGGCGTGGCAGGGGTGGGTGAGCATGGAGGCGGTCAGGTTTCGGTGGGAAACTGACTGGCGAGGCTGAGCAGCCCCGGGCAGCCGTGGTGTTCCTCCTGCAGGCTGGCGCCCTGCTGTCTAGTCACGTGCCGCCACCGCGTGGCGGGGATCCTCTTGACAGCGGTGCAAGGTCACCGCGCGCCCAGCGGGCCCCGGAGCAGGCTCAGCAGCTCGTGCCCGCAGGCAGCAGCCGCCCTCCAGTGTGTGGCGGCCTCTGCTCCCGAGAAGGCAACGCCTGGCTCGCACCCTGTGCCCCATGCTGGGGGTGGTGCCGAAGCGCAGGGTCACGATGGCACTTACTGGACGGAGGGGAGCACAAGGCCCACGTCAGCCTACGTCAGTCCCCAGTGCTGTGTCGATGCTCGGAGACTTCACGGGAACAGCTCAGCCATAGGGTCTGGTACAGAAGAAACAACTCCGAAGACGGGGCTAAATCTCCAGACGGAGACCCTGCCGTTGGATCGGGCCACAGACTGGAGAACGGGGGTCTTCCTATGTGCGGCCGTGCAGTGCAGGTGCCACGAGAGGACACACAGAGGCCATGTCGGCCCTGTGTACACGGCCCGGTGAGCAGATATGGACTCACATCTCTCACTTGAAAATCCAATCAGATCTTTGCTGGAATCAACCAGCCGGCCTAAGCCTCTGGGCAGGAGGCTGCTGCACTGTAGGATAAATCTTTAGGATTTAGGGCGGCTTCCTGTCACTCCAACACCACTCCCGGGAGTGACACTGAACTGAACAGGAGTGAAATGCAGTGTGGAATCAAACACATCTAACGAGACTGGGAGCAGACAGTCTTCCCAATCCTGGTCCCCAGCTAAGGGAACTAAGGCAGTAAGAAGCCAGCACACCCCTTACCTTATCCATCAGGTAGGCGGCAGCGGAAACCCTCTTCACCAGGAACGTGTTCCACAGCATGAGTGCGATGCCTGGGGAGCGAGCGCAGGGGCGGCGGTGTGCGGCGCGTGCACGGCCTCGCTCCGGTCACACGCAGCGCACAGCTGCTTAGCTACTAAACCCACGGGCTACCGGCTTAGCTTCCTTCCTTACACCTCAAGTAATACTTGCAAAGCGAATGAAATCTTTGGTTAAAGCTGAAATGAGCTGCGGAAGAGTATACCAACATGGCCAGTAAGTGTGAGAAGACTGACACCGCTATCAGGGGACTGAGCTCAGATACGTGGAAGACTTCTGAGAGCCGTTTAACAATGTCTGAACACTAGAAACGATCCCACTGCTGACTACTGTTTTTAGCTACAATGCCAAATAATAAAGGATTAAAAATTAAAACAAAACATGAAAATATTGTTTGAAACCCCGAAATCTGGGCTTTAGAATTGCGTATTACCAGGAAGTGACGTGCAGGTGAAAACGTCTGCACAGTTGACAACTGCGCAGCACCCACGTGAGCCTGCAGCTCGGGGGCAGAAGGGGACGATCCCTACTGGCGTGTTCCCACAGCGGGAGGAGCCGGTGCTCAGCACCCCAGTCACATGCAGGGCGACAGCACAGGCGAACGTGCGCTCCAGCGCTGAAGCCCGAGGCAGGGGCCTCTTCGGACCCGTCGGGGGGCTCACTCACCATGCTGGACGTGCGCGTTGACAATGTGCTTCAGGTGTCCCACGGACCTCGCAAAGAAACGCGCCTCCTTCACCAGACAGAAGACAGAGGGAAGCGCGTCAGACACCGGAGAGCAGCCGTTTGCTTCACCACTCAGGACGTGCTGTGAGCGGGGGTGCTGGGGCCGGGGTTGACCGGGCAGGCAGAGGACCCCATGACAGGACAAAGCGCCTGCATGTGTGGAAAGGCGACTCTGCCGGTCACCAGTGACGGCACTAGTGAGAACGCCAGGTACAGCACGCTTTCTTCTCTATAAACCGCTGTGGTTCTGAGACAACTGTGTTTACAGCCTTCATTTCAGGAGAAAACCAGGCCCAGGGCTCGGATGTCCCTGAAGCCACAGCAGCTGCGCGCTAGGGCCACGATCGGCTAAGAGGAGCCTCTGCGGCCTCGGAGTCCCGCACCAGCGGCCTGTGACTTGGAAACACTGCAGCGTTTCTTCTAGTCACTTTCCTGCACGCCGTTTGGATTTCAGAAACTACATCCTCACTCCATCCTAACATCTTCCTGCGCCATCTCAACAGAGCCCACGGATGGCCGCGGAGCTGACAGTCCCACCAGAGCCACGGGGACCCTGTCCTCACGCCGCTGCGGGGTAAAGGCCCATCCCTAACTGAAGTCAGTTGCTTTTTTAGTATATTCTTTCACTGAGCGAACGGCCGCTTTCGACATACACTGCCTTGATGACAGACGGGAGGGTACCACCACCACTAGTGTATTAGCGTGGATTAGCGCGCCTCGGAGATTTGTCTACCAAAGCACAACCCGCTACAGAAGTAATAAGGAGATGACTTTGATTGGAGACAAATAATTTACAGGCTGAGGTGTGGTTCGGCGGCAGAGCACCAGGGCCCTGGGTTTGACCCCCACTACTCCAACAAGACAGAACACTAACTTGCCAGTGCCCTAACCAGGGAGGCCCCGGAGGGCTAACTGGCGGAGGACTCCCCAGGAGAGGTGTTCAAGCCTTGCTCTATCCCAGCGTCACCCCTGCAGGACTGGCACCCCCATTTAGCACACAATGGGGTAGCAAAGTCCAGACTCAGCGACCAGGTGCTGGCCAGTGATTCTCGGGGGACCCAAGCCCAATCCTGACGCCTTCTCCCTACGGTCTCCGCCCCTGGGCGGAGCCGAGCAGAGCTGAGGGCAGCCGGGGAGCCCGGACGGGAGAGGGCCATGGACACAGCGCCAGTGTGAGAGACGCAGCGGATGAGCCTGAGGGGGCCTGGCCGGCAGCCACCGGCGCTAGCTCCCGTCATGATGACTAGGACACTGAGGACGTGCCGTCAGAGAGGTTTCGGGAAAGGACAGGAAACGTGCGCGTCACAACCCAGCAGGGCGCTGGGCACACACCTGCTTTAACTGAGGAGGAGGCTGTGCTTTCCCCTGATACTGAGCCTCCACACTCGGCAGGGACTTGCTGCCCTTCTGCAGCAGGACAGTGGCGAGCCTGCGGCACAGGTGCCTGCGGGGGGACCTGGCATAAGCCGCACAGCGAATGAGAGCACGGGAGGGCTGGCGGTCAGCACAGACACCCGACTGTCCCAGGCGAGCACCCTCACCTCGGGGTCTTTGTTCCACTGGACCACGTACTCCCAGCAGCAGTGCGCATGTAGCACGTCCAGCTCCAGGCTGCACGGGAACTGCTCACAGGCCAAGCGCAGCAGGTCTGCAAGGACAGCGGGGTGTCAGTCTCCTCAGGGAGGACAGCCGCTCGCTCCCCCTCCCCCGGGCCCCAGGGATGCCTTCTCTGTCACCTGGGATGGCTCCTACGTCTGCCTCTGTCTCCGCCGCCTGCAGGAGAGCTCTGTGAGTGCCTTCCTCAGCTTCATCTGGATTCTCCCTGTCTTTGTCTGGATTAGCCAGTTTCAGCACTGCAGGGCTCAAGTCCTGCTTACACACCCACTTGGCCACGCTGTCTGCAATGCCGCCTGGGGTGGAGACGAGAGAGACAGAGCTCACAGCACTGAGCCGGACGCGTCAATGTGCGGCTCCCCAGGCGGAAAAGCAGCGCCCCGCCCTGCTCGGGCCCGAAGGGACCCCGAAGTCCACGAGACGCACAGCACTGTCCCGCCCGTCATGCCGGAGAGCGCAGGGTAGACACCGCCCCTCGTCTCCGTTCGCGGAAACACGAGGGGAGCGCAGTGCACACGAATGCCCGTCCGTACCGCACCGCACCGCACCTTCCGAGCGCTGCACCAGACATGGTGAGGGCATGAGGTGCCTGCAACCGTGCTTTTCATCTAGGTTGTAAGCAAAAACCCATCACCGGGCCTGACAGCTAGCTAGGCTTCTCAGGACGGCCTCACCGTCCTTGTACCAGACATCCCACGTGCCTGCGAAGTGGTTGCAGCGACCTCAGCCATTGTAGGCAACACCGTGGTACTGGGCCACCTTTCAGTCTCCAGGGCGGACAGAAACTGTCCGCGCAGGCTGAGGAGCGCTCAGGACCCGCACCCCTGCCTCCCAGTACTCCAAGGCCCAGCGGGGTCCCACGCTCAGTGCCAGCCCCGGCACCTGAGCAGTTCCGGGACCCTGTCTCCAAGTGAAGAAGGCAGGGAGGCCGCTCTGGGAAGAGCCTGGGTTCAGAGTTCCAGAACCAGAACAAACGAAGTACGGACGTGGGCCATGTGAAGGGTAGCAGACTTAGAAATAAGAAACGGCCACAAGTCTTACGAAGAATGAGAAAATGAGATAACTAATCAAAACTCTATAAATACTTGGCCAACCCTAAAATGCAGCTCCCTGGTACGAGATGCCTAGCAGAGCTTCTGATGAGAAGACTGAGTCCCAAAGGCGACTCAAACATGAGGTACTCGTGTTTTTCCAGGTGTGAGCCGGGGGCCTGCGATGATGGGATGGGACGCTGTGTCCTCACCCACGTGCGGGGGCTCCAGGCTCACCTCAGAGGCACAGGGGCCCGGGCCCGGGCGGATGTGGGTGCGGCGGGTAGGAGGCTAACATCTGCTGTTTGCACAGCACAGCCATGCCGTGGTTGGCAGCAGTTAATGGTATCAGCGGCCAGGAGCAGGCGTCCCAGTGCTCCGAGCGGCAAGAAGGAAGGTGTGCGGCCGGGGTCTCACCGCACACCACACATGTGTACTGCAATGCTGCGTGTGCCCCATAAACACGCACAACTGTTGTGTCAATTAAAACGTATTTCACAAAAAAAAAAAAAACCCAAAAAATTGAAAAGGGAAGAAAAAAAATGGGGAGTGGGGTTCTGGAGCGATGGGGAGGAGGGCTTGCAAGAGACGACAGGAGACCCGGACGCCTGTGCTGGCGAGGGGTGAGGCATGCGGGAAGGGTGCTCCCCCTTCCCTGAAATCCGCGCTCTCAGAGCCAGCAGCCCACACGGCACAGCCGGGAACGCGGCCCTCACGCCGCTGCTTACCTTTGCCTGCCTCCAGCAGCTTCTTCACGGACAGCTGGGGCAGCGGCTCGGCCTGCAGCGCGGAGGCTCGGGGCCGCCGGGACCCGCTGTGCAGCAGGCTCTGCAGGAGCAGGCAGTCCTCCAGCTGCTTCAGGAGCAGCCTCCAGTGCTCCGTGTCCAGGGACAGCGCCTCCCACGAGTCTGTGAGGGCCTCGGCGTCGACCCCCGCTGTCTGCAAGGACTACCAGAAGGTGCCGTCACTGCGGGGCGGGGGCACGTCCACAGAGGGGGCCGCGTCCACAGCTCTGCTGTGAGGCTGTGCGACCCCAGGACGCTGCCTCCCAGGTGACACCGGGCTGGTGAGACCTGAGGGAAGGACACTCACGAGGAGCCCTGCAGCAGCGACCTCTGTTTGGTCCTTGGTGGGCCCCGGCTTTCCGTCAGAACCAACCAAGCGCTCCCATCTGCGCACCCCGGTGGGCCCAGCGTGGGGACCGCGCGGCAGCAGTCCCCACCTGCCCCTGCTCCAGAGGTGCGCTTGTGACAGCCACCACGGCCAATGTCCCACACGTGACGGCAGCATGCCTCGCCACTCACCTTCTTCTCTGTCACGTGGTTTGAGACCTGCATGGCAACCGAGTGGCCCACGTGTGCGGCCAGCAGCGCGGCCCCGCTGTTCTCAGACTGAATGCAGGCCACGCGCATCTGCTGCCACCAGGGGGACACGGACTGCGAGTCCCAGGTCTCATCGATGGCCACTGCAGGGACGAGGACAGGCGCACGGGTGAACCCAATTGGTTATTTTTGTCTGATCTTTCATTTTTAAAACTAAATTTCGTGAAAATGGACCTGTATATTTCTGAATACAGTGTAAAACAGATCTTACAAGCTATGCATTCAGGGTACGTCTATTCCACTGCTTTATCACGGTCATCCCGTTTCTCAGTCAGTACTTATCCTTAACCCCTCTCTGGAATATTTTCATCATTAGTGCAAACTACTCTTGAACGTATTACTAGAGGCAACTGTTCTGATGACGTGAAAAACAGGAATATTCCCTCCCACGAACAGCAATTCTCCTTACTGAGTTAAGAAAACGTATCATCCGTGGAATCATTTATGATAGCACAAGCGTGATTCAATTTTCATTCATTAACGCATGCTTCAAACGCATTAGGAACCTTTGACACAGAAACCAGCCTGCGCGGTAACAGCCTCCATGCCTCGCCTGCTCCTCCCCTTCCCCCGACGCCGCGCCCTCCTCTCCCATGCCCGAGCCCCAGCCCACCTTTCATCCTGCTCAGGAGGGACAGCATCGTGTGCAGACAGCAGACAGACCACGGCTTCTCCAGGACAGCCTTCTCCCTGGAGAGCCACACACTCAGCAGCAGAGACTGAAATCAAGGTGACATCTTTTTCAGAGCAGAGGCACAACTGGCCTAACTGCGGGCCTGCGCTGTCCTACCCAGCCCCGCACGCGGATGCACAGCCTTCTGGCCGGCGGCTGGCGGCATCGTGTTCCAGGAGGTGACCTGAGAGTCTTCATTATTCGCTGCACAGCCGCAGGAGTGACAGGGAGGACCTGCGTGCCTGACGAAGGTGCCTCGCACCTGGCAGAGGGCAGCACCAGTATGAAAACTATCCACTCCCACTCGTAAGTGGCTAGCAAGTTAGGAAAAGCCTGTTTAGACAAGGCGCCCCAGTCAACACAAGTGACTTCCAAGGTGCAGCAGCGTATTTCCTTAAGTTTACATTTTTACGGTTTATAAAATCTGCTCACAGATACCCTGGGAAAATAAGGATTTTGATGTCACAGTGTCACATCTGGAGATACTGGAGCCTGGGGGAGGCCTGGGCTGCTTATGACGCTGCGTGCATTTATGTGAGAAAAGCTCTCAACCCGGGATGAGATGTCACCTGGGATGGCTCCTACGTCTGCCTCTGTCTCTGCCGCCTGCAGGAGAGCTCTGTGAGTGCCTTCCTCGGCTTCATCTGGCTGACTGCCAGATCCAATGGCTTGGCTCCAATAATCTCGGAAAGTTAAAGTGGAGGGAGCCAAAGAAGCCCACTGGGGCCAGCGGTTCTGGGACTGAGTACCACACTTCCCGATGGACTCCAATAAAACTACCCTTTACGTGTTTTCAAAATGACACACAGGAGTGCAGACAACACACCTCAGTCGGCGCTGACTGAGCACAAAGCACCCTCGCGTCTCCCTCTTCCTTTGTAACTTTTCATCTCAAGAGTCACCTTCCCCACTGAGGACATGAAACGCAGAGTCCCAGAGCCCCTCCCGCTAACATGGCACTCAGGATCAAAACAAGACGCGACTCTGGAAACCCACAGGGCTCATTCGGATTTCACCAGCCATGTGTGCACAATGTGTGTGCGTGTGTGTATATGTGTGTGAGCGTCTGTGCAATCTTACCACTCAGGTACTTCTGTATCCTCACCACAACTCGACAGCAAGCCACCAGAGACCCTTCCTTCCCAACTACGCACTCCCCGCTCGCGGAGCCACGTGAGTCCGCTCTGCACCCTCAGGCGCGCTGTCACGAACGGCACGCCAGCAGCTGTGCAGTGCGCGACCTTTTAAGGTTGGCCTTTTTTGCTTCCTTCAAGTTGCGGTGCTTCTCAATACTTCATCATTTTCATTCCTGACGCCCAGGACGGATGCACCACCATCTGTTTATCTACTGAAGGAGACATTAGCCTAGTACCCCTCATGTCAATCCTATGCACGCTTCTAACCGTCATCCTTCCTGACATGTGTTTACTTCATGGAGAGGTGGAACAGAATCCAGTTTTACAGGACTTAAATATTCAATGAAAACAATGCACTCCACGGCTCCACACTTGCAGGCCTGAGTCCTGGCTGGAGCTGAGAGGAGAGGAGCAGGACAGAGAGCGTGCTCACACACGCACAGGTGCTGGGTGGCTACTGCCACGGGAGCGACCCAGCCAACTCTGCTCAGGAAGAGCAAAGATTTAGTGCTGTAGCTTTTCCATGGGATGATTCTTTGGCTTTATATTTGCTGCAGCATGAGGACTGTATCCTAGCAGATGCTCAAAGTTCAGAAATGCGGATCACAATTTTAGATAGCTTTAAAGGAAGCTTATTTTATTCTCTAAGAGTTTTTCTTTAGTTCTGTGATGACAACTTTTACTGATGATCCACCACTGAAACTGCAGTTACGTCAGATGTCAAATTTATTTTAGGTCAACGACAGAATGTACTTGTTACCATTTACAGGGAGCAAAAATAAAATAAATAAAATTTTACTAAATGTGGTGAATGTCAATCTTCCTCATGTCCCTAAGACAGCTGCATGTGTGTCCTGTGACAGCCAAAAGGCAAAGATCCCAGTAAGACTCACACTTCTCCACACCCGTGCATGGAAGAACTGCAGCTGGGAAGAAACCTTACCAGCAGCAACTGAGGGCTGAGTCCAGCAGCTTCCAAAGTGAGGCACATGTCCTCGGTAGAGCTTTCTCCATGCAAGCACTTCCAAAAGAAGAAGCTGCCTAGTAGACAAAAAAGAAACACATTCACCAGAAACCAGTTACTCTTTGGACTGATGATCTTCCTCAACTGCAATCTAAAATTCCAGGAGCAAAATGGCATGAGAAGAATGAATGGTTTGATCTGATTTACTAAAGCAGAGACAGCAAATCATCACACATCTAACTCTGCCTCTTTAGTACACTTACCAAAACAACACACCCAACGGTGCATATACATCCAGAGTATCCTTTGTTCACCAAAATACATACGTTAAAACTCTGGTCAATTTAATCATAAAACAATGAAATCGCTGAGACACTATGCTTTCAGAAATGAGAGGATGTGAAGAACAGCTCAGCAGGGTACCCACCTAAAGCCACATACTCCTCTTCGCTTATCTTCTTTATGCTGAGCGCATCCTTCTCATACTCCAGGTATTCCAGGAAGGTCTTGACAGGCAGCACACCGTCTCTGTCATCAGAGAATCGAACTGCAGTCCTGGTGTTCTCTTGTTTATATTTCTCTAGTAATGCCTGGAGCTTAAGCAGTTCTTTTTCATCAAGCCTTAGTAACACAGCCAAGTCCTTAAGAACAGAAACAATAATGTTCTGAAAAGAGCGGCCTCCTTCTGTGAATCTACCAAGGTGAGCCCTGCTATCTGGGCTGAAGTTCAAGGGCATAAACAAAAGATGACTGTTTAAAACTGATACAACAGCGAGACTGTACTCAAAATTTTTACTCTCAAATTACATTTTTATAAGTAAAGAGGTTATTTGAATAAGCTAATGTTAAAAAACTATAAACTAGTAAGAATACCATTTTGGAAAATTTCTTCAAATACCCTCTATTCTGTCAGGATTTTAATAAACACATATTATCATACAATCAAAAAATAATAAAAGATGTCACTGTAATTCTTATTGGGCTAAAACTAGGGAAATATTTAGAATTAAATGTTTATACACTAAATAGCAAAAGTTTTATAAAACAAATATGTGAAAAAACAGTTTTCCCTGAATCTACACGTAAGTCCTTTGTGTAGCTCTCAGCGATACAAAGAAGTGAATGTCACAGACAACCCGACAGCCGTTCAAACTGCTCGGCACACCACACGTGCAGGAAGATCCGAAAGCAGAGCCGGTACATGCACACAGACACAGTGCCCGCAACTCTGGAACACATGAGTGTGGGCAACCAAGAATCAACAAATGGGAGCATATCAAATTAACAAGCTGCACAGCAAAGGAAACCACTGAGTGAAGAGACCACCGACAAAACTTTGCCAGCTGTCCCTCAGAGAAACACTATCTAGAGTGGTGGCGAACCTATGGCACGCATGCTGCCGCGGCTCGCTGTTACTGTTGGGAGCTCTAAAAGCCCTAATCTCACAATGCAGACCCCCCACATTTAAAGACCCTGTTAAAAAATGGGCATCTGAAATGAACAGATACTTCTCAGGTAAATGCGTGAAATTCATCAATACATGAGAAAATGTATGACACTGCTGGCTGCTTGAGAAATGCAAATTAAAACAACACTGAGATTCCATCTCACTCCAGAAAAGAACGGCTGTCATTAGAAATCACCCAATAACAACGGCTGGTGAGGCTGCGGGGAAAGGAACTCTTCTCTGCTGTTGGTGAGAACATAAATTGGGAGAACCACGATGGAAAGCAGTATGGAGATTCTTCTAAAAACTAAAACTAGAAATTTGACTTCACCCAGCTATTTCCCTGCTAGGTATCTCCCCAAAAGAGCTGAAGACATCATGCCACAGTGATGTGCTGCATACCCATGCATACAGCAGTGTAATTCACAATAGCTAAACCTTGGAAACAGCTTACATCTCCACCAACAGATGGACGGATAAAAGTAATGGGATATTTACATACCACGGAGCACGAGTGTGCCATAAAAATAATAAACTTGAGTCATTTGTAGGGAAATGGATGAACATTGAGACCATAATGTTAAGTGAGCCAACTCAGACACACAAGCTTAAATATCGCATGGTTACTCTCATGAAAAACTATATAAAGTACTAAAAACATATAACGTATAAAATAACAGACAACAGGAAAAAAGTGGGAAAAAAGCTACTGTAATTCAGTGCGGATAATGTACCTAAAAGTGTACTTTGACTTACTACAAGTATTTTATAGGATCTTTGGCCTAGTACTCTGATTTTCAATCCGTATATACTATAATTGACTTTGTAAGGTTTTGAAAGATAAATGAATCTGATGCTGGAAAAATAAAAGAAGGATGGAGGGGAGAAGGAAATCGAAATGTGCTGTGTACATGCACCAATCCCCACAGTGAATGTAGCTGTTATGTACTGCAAACACGTACGAATAAAAATTAAAAAAAAAAAAATGCACCTTTAAGCTTAAAAAAAAAAAAAAAAATTGGCTTGCTACCTGCCAAAGACTGAAAATAGACCCAAGCCTATCACCATGCACCAAACTCAAGTCAAAATGGTTCACAGATCTCAATATTAAACCAGAAACACTAAATCTATTGGAAGAGAAGGTAGGTAAAAACCTTGAAGACATAGGGGTAGGCAGAGAGTTCATGAACAAAAACCAAATTGCATGTGAAACACTTGAAAGAATCAACTATTGGGATCTCATCCTACTGAAAAGTTTCTGCACATCTAAAGAAATCACCAGCAGAGTAAAAAGAAAACCCACAAACTTGGAAAGAATTTTAGCTGATTGTCTCTCAGACAAAGGGCTTCTATCTAGAACATATAAAGAATTAAAAAATATCAGCCCCTCCAAATTCAAAGACCCAACCCAAAAATGGGCAGCAGAGATGAATACACACTTCTCAGACAAGGAGATACAAATGGCAAATAAATATATGAGAAAAATGTTCAACATTAGTCATTCGAGAAATGCAAATTAAAACAACACTGAGATTCCACCTTACCCCGGTAAGAATGGCTAGCATTAAGAAATCAACCAATAACAAATGCTGGCGAGGCTGTGGGGAAATAGGAACCCTTTTCCACTGCTGGTGGGAATGCAGACTGGTGAAACCACTGTGGAAATCAGTTTGGAAATTCCTCAGAAAACTAGGTCTAGAGGTCCCATTCAACCCAGCTATCCCCCTGCTGGGTATTTTCCCAGAAGATCTAAAAACATCATATCACAGTGATGTATGTGCACCTATGTTCATAGCAGCACAATTTATAATTGCTAAAATGTGGAAACAACCCAAATGTCCATCCACTGAGGATTGGATAAGGAAATTGTGGTACTTTTATATAATGGAATATTACTCAGCTGTAAAGAAAGATAAACTTGAGGCTTTTATAGGTAAATCGTCACAACTAGAGGCCATACTCGTAAGTGAAATAAATCTAACATACATGTGCAAGCACCGCATTGTTTCACTAGTGTAAAACCTGAAAGAGTTAATTTAAACTAGGAGATATGATAGACATTGTGAATTGATAGGAAAGCACTCAAAGGTAAAGTGCAACTGGGATGTGGGAAAAAGAGAAGGGAAAGAAGGAGAAATTTTATATGTATGTATATGCAGGATAGTCAACATGGCTGTTCTACTGTCTTGTATTTCTTTGCTGAAAGAAACTGTCAGTGAGTCGTTGGTTGATCAGCATTGCATGTCTCTGTTTTCATGAGAAACCACTTTGAAGGTATCAATATGTAACACAACAAGCATTGTTTATTCCCTACCACTGTGTTCGTAACTCCGTACTGTCTGTACTGTTCCTCTGCTATTTTGTAAAATGTTGTCTGTCTGTTAATATTTTCCTCCTTTTATTTCTAAAAAAAAAAAACCAAAAGTAACAGAGGAGATGATTTTACATGATACTGAAACTTGAGATTACTCACTCTGTCAGAGAACTGTGTGTCTGACTGAAAATCACGGGAGTTTAACTGACAGACGGACTCATAAAGATGCAGCAATTTCAGTTTACTGGCGCAGAACCGCAGCAGCCCCTCATCCAAGGACTCGAGCTCTGGAAGGCACAGGAAGCAGGAAGAGCTTGGTCAGCACACCCACAGCCCGCCTGCCCGCCTGCCTCCCTCCCTCCTTTCCTTCCGTCTCTTCACACTCTTCCTTGGCACTCAGTTACAGTAAGACTACAATGCTTAAGTTACGAGAGATTGAAAGCAGACACAATTTTTCCATCACAGTAAAATGTGTAGCTTTTAAATGAAATAAGATGCTCCAGGAGGAGGAACACGGGGAAAGGAAGGCAGAACTGTCCTTGTCTCACACCTGGAGTGACATGGGGAAGCAGCTGTGAAGGTGCCCGCTGCCCCGCCCGTCCCGGACGCAGGACAGACAGAAGCTGCCGTCCTCCTGCCGCCCACAGGGAGAAGACCATAAAGTCCATCCAGGGGCCGTGACCCATGGTCCTCGAGAGGCTGCAGGACCCGAGCAGAGCGCACCTGCGCCCTCCAGCAACGGGCCGTGCCTGCTTGGTGCCCATGCGCACCTGGGAGAGCCCTCTAGATCACCGACACACTTCTCTACCACACCTTTGACTGCATGGCTAAGTAAGACAAATACTACTCCATGAAACGACAGATGTGGAAGTCCTCAAGCAATCTTCATTTAGGGTACAGTAATGCGAAATTCCCTTAGTACTTATAGCCAGTAGTAACACTTGCTGCACAAAATCCTGGAAAATTTTAAGGAACCTCATTTATGGGCCCTGTGATGGTTTTATTTTATTTTATTATTTTGGCTTTTTGAGACAAGGTCTCGCTATGGAGCTCGGGCTGGCTTTGAGCTCACTTTGTAGCCCAGGCTGGCCTTGAACTTGCAAAGATCCTCCTGCCTCAGCCTCCCGAGTGCTGGTATTACAGGCAGGCCTGGCTCCCTGTGATGATTTTACAGCACTTCAATGGCACAGTGAGGGGACCCCAGTCATTTAAACATGCTGATATTAGATAGCTTTAAGGGGAGGGGCTTTATCAGCATACTGTTCTTTCAATTTTTATTTACTCTTTAAAAGATGATAAAGCAGACTTCACTGAGGACCGCTGTGACCCTGCCTCGGTCTGGCGGGGGTGGGGGCTACACTCAGCCCCGCTGTGTGCTGTCTGTCTGTTTTTCACTCTGGGGACTGAGCCCAGGGCGCCGCGGTGCTAGGCAGGCTACACCCTCAACTCTTTCTTTGTGTTAAGTGAACATTCTGAGACAGGGTCTAATTGCCTAGGCTGGCCTTGAACCTACTATCCTCTTCACCCTCCAGAGTAGATGGGATTCACTACATCAACTGTGGTTTTTTGTTTTTTGTTTTAAGACAAGGTCTTGCTCTGTAGTTCAGGATGGCCTCAAGCTCAGGGCAATCCTGTCTCAGCCTCCCAAGTGTTGGGATTACAGATGTGCACCACCATGCCTGGCTCAACTGTGTTTTTTAAAAGTACTTCTAACAAGCTGTGCACACTAACGAGCTCACTGTTTACCAAAGTCAGCCTTGTACTCTGCTGAAAAAGTCATCACAAAAGCCTCAAACTCTAGGTCTGAAGTCTTGAAAGAACATACGATGTTTTGAATCAACATACGTTGCCTTAAACACAACTAAACAAAATTTAATTAAATGTAAAGCTGGCTTTATGTGAGTAACATGACAAGCAAGAATTCCAAACTAGATACTTCTTTTGCTACAACTTAACATGCTAGAATTAAGAATAAAGTGAAGTGTGATAGCTTGGCTGGAGAGACTATGGAGTTAACACAGCTTCAATCTTTGTTTTCTGAGACAGCGTCTCACTCTGCAGCCCAGGCTGGCCTCAAACTCACGGTAACCCTCCTGCCTTAGCCTCCAGGTGCTGGGATTGCCTGGCTTCAAACAGAATTCTCAAACAGTAACGATCTATGAAAAACTCACAACAAATACTTTAACTAAAGTCTTTGAGTCTGGAAGTGTGAACTGTGCTCATGAGGTAAACAGATGAACTGAAAGCGTCAGCATCTTCTGTCACGATGGCAGTCAGAAGGACGTCACGTGAGAACGCTCCCTTCAGAAACTGCTCTCCCATGAAGGCAAGGGAAGGACAAAGGCCGCGAGAGCACTCGGGCATTTTTGGCACAGACCATTAGCTGCCCCCATGCCGACGGCTTCCGTGGCGTCCTCAGGCCTGCAAAGACCGCTTCTCAGTGTTCTTACTGACAGTCCACAATAGTGGGGGTCACGCCAAAAGTAGTCAAATAGGAAGCAGCGTCACCACACGCAGAGACGGCTCAGACACAGATCAGTGTCAGGAGCCAGCACGCACAGGCCGCAAACACAGAAGGTGCGACCCAGGTGTCCTCACTCTCATCTACAGTACACCTGTCCAGGTGACAGCAGCATGCACCTGAGCCCTCCAAGGACAGGCGCGGGGCCTCCCGCAGCACAGAGCCGGTACCTTGGCTCTGCAGGGCGTCCACCACCGTCTGCGTGACGTTTCTAAGGCAGGACAACGGGAGACGCTCACTTGCCAGGATGCTCTCCAAAGCCTAGAAGGAAGACACTGGATGAGGCCAGTAAACATTTCCATTTTTAAATTCTACCTTTGCCTACATTTTCACTACTCCACACTGCAAAGAGAAGCTCGCTATTTGAGGTGCTCGGCGGACAGGCCCGAGACGCAGGCTGCACCAGAAGCAGTTGTGACCCATTTCACGTTGGGCCACACACGGTGTACGACCAGGTCCAGGCAGAAAGCAGAGCTTAGCAGGCAGCTGCTGCTGAACAGACAGGGCGACTTGCCAGGAATGAGTCTGGACGAGCCGCTGCTCCAAGCAGAAGTGAAAGAAGGGCTGCCCGCAGTGGAGGTGCAGCCGCCTCACTCTCCGCCTCCCCACGCCCCGGTCTGGTCCTCACAGCCCCACGCAGCAGTCCCCAAATCTCTCCACAGGGCCACCAGGACCAGGACCTGCAGTTTCTAGTTATACGTGCACGCGGGCACATTAAGTTGGATTTTAACTGATGAAACTAAGCATTGAAAATTTAGATAAAGGATGCGGCCAGAGACAAATTCCAGATCACCGCACAGTGTCTGTGGGAGAGACGGGCCTGGCTGCGGTTGTGTGTCCGCAGGCCTGAGACAGGACGAGGCGAGCTCGCTGCCTCAGGAGCCGCCTTCCGTGCAGGGCCGACACGGGGCCCGCGCCTCCAGCTGTGCAGCGCCTCTCCCAGTCCCGTACAGCATTCTTCCCTCCTTCTGTGGCCATGGGACAGGGATCAGTTTTGCTATTGGGTTTTCCAGGATCTTAAAGAAAATCCATTTTCGTCCATGATTCAGCAGTAAAATTAAAAAAACCTCATGAAGGCAATTCTCATTCCGCTCTAATTTCCCAATTTTGTTGTTTCATGGTGTAAGATTAGAGTGGAACTGCTGGGGTTATGAGCATCGCTGTGATGGGCCCCTAAACGGCCTCGGGAGGTGCCCACCTCGTCACCAGTAACAGTGAAGAAAATGAAAGCCAACAGGCAGGCGGAGCAGGGGAGCAGCACGCTACCACAAAACAGCACCAAGTGTTAACCATGACTGCAACAGAAAGCCGGCGTCCCTCAGTTCTCCCGCGCGTGGCTCTGGTGCACAGCTCCTGGCGCCCCCACATTTCCTGAGCCACAGGCTCAAGGAGAATCGCCCGTTCCCGGTCCAGCTCGGCACATCCCCACTGACGAGCGTGCTGAGAATCGGCTGCTGAAGCAGATGGCGTGTGGCCGGGTCTTGACGCAGAGTTCCTAAGACCTCCGTCACTTCCTGGGTGTTACGAGCATGGCAACTCCCAGGGGCCTCGGGACAGTCTTAGGATGGTGGTGGAACCCACATGGGGAGGAGAGACTCAGAACTTCTGAAGCCACCCCAGCCTCTAGGGCATGGGAAGCAGCCGGAGCGCTGCGTCCTCCCCCGTGCCTGGCCTGTCTTCTCCTCCCTGGGCCTGGGCACCTTTGTCTGTCACACCTTCTACAGCACCCAGGGAAACGTAAGAGTCTCTCGAGTCTGAGAGATGCTCCAGCAAACAAATGGAGCCCGGAAGGGATCACGGTGGGTCAGAAGCTCAGGTGACACCTACCACTTCCGCCTGGTTCTGAGTGGTGGGCAGTGTGGGTCTGAGCCCCAACCCATGAGATCTGACGTTCTTGCCAAGTGGACAATGTCAGAGCTGAGCCAACGAGGACCCCCACCCGGGGCCACCTGGCAAGCCTGCTAGAGGCGGCCGGTGGGGCCAGCCCCACCTCACAGTAGACTAGCGACGGTGTGGGTGAACAGGAAGTCACTCTGATTGGCTGTTTTCTTACATTCTCACGACATCCTTTTATATCACTTTTTATTTCATTGAATTAAAATCATTTATATTTGTGAACTCTTTAAAACACTGTACACATAGAAGCAGTGGGTCTGTGCCAGCGTGCGCAGAGCATCTGGTACGCTTGGCGTTGCTGCAGGCCAGAGGCACCCATTTGTCAGGTAATTTTCGACAACGTTCTCTACACCACTTGCGTGCGTTTCTCGCTGGTCCTAAGTAAGCTTCTATAAAGGGAGTGTTTTTTGAGTGACTTGCACCTGCAGCATTACTTCACGGGTTAACAGATGTCAGTAATGAACTCCCTGAATTGTAACACGGAAATCTTGCGAGTACCCCACTGCTGATGTATACAAAATGCATTTACAACTGCTGCACCATAAATTAGCTGCATTACAATGTTTACACCATTTCAATGTCCTCCTTAAGAACCTGTAACATGATGACATCTGATCTACTACGTGAACACCTTTCTCTGTAGTACTGTCATCAAAGACAAGATCAGGCTTTATGTTTTCAGGTTTTCCTTGCTCAACACACATGTATGGTTTTCACAAGCCATTAACATACCAACGGTTCTTTCATCAGTCCATTTAACAAATTTTACATCAGAACTATTTTCAAAGTTTATGATTTTGCTGTGTTTTTGTTTGTCTTTGGCTGTATTGGTAAAAATTTTCACTATGGCTGTACTGTGCTGTACAAATATGTTTCTTGTTGTAGAAGTTCTTGTGCTGGGGGCATATTCGAGTAATACCCATCTGCTTACAACGTGTGGTTTTCAAAGTACAAGCCGTTCGTTAATTTCAAAACACCATGGTAGGAGTGCCCATGCTCCTAAGGGTTTGCACTTTTTCCTGCACAGACATGTAGATCATAGGTGCAAGCATTAGGTGAACAACTACGTGATTTTATCCTGTTTTTATGTCCTTTTCCTTTGACATACTGGTGAAAATGTAGAGGTCCTTGCCATAAAAATCATACTTTTGTCTATCACCACCTTTTCCAGGTTTTATTGTGTTCCTGAGTGCACTAACAACTCCTTCCATGATCTCTCTACATTTACCCCAAGGCTCCTCGGTTCTGCACGTGGCACTGTCAGAGAGAGATGTGAGCAGTTCAGAGTCACCAGAAGCGGTCACTCTGCTCAAGGCTTTTGCACACCCATTGTATCTGCAGACCATACAGTCTAACGTCTGCTGGGCACTAGTCCCACAGCCAGTAAGACACCTATAGAAATTCTCACCTTGCTAATTGTGACAGATTCCCAGCACTGTTGAGGCTTTCTTTTTGTGCTAAAGCGTATCTACTTGTTTCCCCAATTACACTTGTGAGTATCTTCTCAGATACAAGTAATTTATACCACACAAAAGGATCCCTGCAAGGGACAGCACTCATCGGAAGCTCTGTATCCCCACGGAGAGGGCGTGTGTGCTGTACCTGCGTCCAGTGTCACCGCCCCTGCCCTGCACTCACCTCCGAGTCTGCACTGCGTGCCGTGGGCAGTCACCTAGCGCCCCATGAGTGACAGAGAGGTGGTAGCCCTCCTTACTGGCCCCTGCAGCAGGCCTGCCCCCTGCACAGCGCTGCCAGCTCTGCCCATTTTCAGCCATGGCCACACTGGTTGGTATCTTAGCTGGGGAGGGGCTTTCAGGACATCAGCAGTGCAGCAACCTCTCTTCAGGCAGCTAGACGGTAGTTGGTGCTTCTTCTTTAATACTGTTACTACAACTGCTATTACGCCTGCTTCCATCATCTTCTGCCAGTGCTCTCCATATGCTTGTTGGATCTATTTTCATGTTGCAGATTAATACATCAAAGACGGGTTGGGTGATTTTTGTTTCTTTTTACTGTGTACCTGATTCGGAAACAATCCCCAAGGACAGCTCTGAAGTCTAGCCTGCTCCTTCCTGCAGTGCAGGCCAGGCCAACGCATGACCCCAGCCGCCCGCAGCCCCTGCCCTGCTCTGAGCCTGAACGAGGGCTCTGCAGACGGCACGTTTCCTATGTACTTCACGTGCATGAGGGATTCCCCCAGTGCTTCCTGGTTTCTCTGATAACTCCACTTCTTCATCAGTGTTGTGTTTTTCTTTGCATTTTTTAAATTGTTGACACTTTTTTTCTTGGAAGCATTTGCTTTACCAGGCATCCTGGCCTAAGTAGTATAATTATGACGCTTTCAAAAAATTGAGATGGATTCCTCCTCAACGTGTCAGAGAGCTGTGCTCACAAGAACTTGTGCCCAACACCCAAAGCTCCGCAGCATTTCCTTACGTGCTGGGAGTTACAAAGATAAAGATACTCGGTGAGGTTCCCGCCTGAAGGCTTTTCAAGCCGGGCAGGATGGGAAGGCTCACGCATGCGGAGTACTAGAAAACTCGCACCTGCGCACCACCTCACTCAGAGCAGAGCCGGGGCTGTGGGCAGCCTGGCGCGCACTTGTCTGGCCTTGGGCTCACTGCCAGCACTGCGGAAATAAAGGGGGTGGCACAGGCGTTCAGAGCTGTCCGGGGGACTGAAGGGTCACCTAAGAAGCCATGGAGGCAGGGCAGAGGCAGCTTCGAAGGGGTCTGGTAGGATGAGAGCAGAGAAACTGTCAGTTACCACACTGCCGCGTGGCAGAGGCGGCGATCTGACTGTACCATGGACACTGCAGCTGAGGCGCACAGGGCTGCCACACGGAGCACGGGATATAAGTGAGTATCAGCCGATGGGGCCCGAGCTAGTTAGCCACTATTCCGAAAAGCAGTTTCTCATCACCTAGCACAGTCTGGGCAGTCATACCTGCGAGGGGTGGGGTACACACCGACAGTCCCAGCACTGCGGGAGGCTGAAGTAGGAGGACTGCAAATTCAAGCCCGACCTGGGCTCTTAGGGACTTAGCCAGACCCTGTCTTATCACTAAAAGGCCAGGGACGTAGCTCAGCGCAGAGTCTGGGTTGAATCCCTAGCATTGGAGAAGGAAGCGGCAGCCATTCCACATCTAGCAGCGGGGCAGATGTCAACTGGAGCCAGACTCGCGTGTGCGCGGCAGGGAGCGTGCTAAAGGGCAGGCGCAGCGTCAGGGTTTGAGATGGCAAAACTGGACTCGGCCTAGCCGGCCCCTGACGGAGAGCAGAGACAGCCAGTCCCAGGGCAGAGGCCACCTGTCACCACCACCGCAGCCCGGCCCCTCGGGGACACCTGCTGCCAAAGGGGAGACGAGTCCGGCCAGCAGATGGCACGGCTCCGTTCACAGCTCACAGAAGCAGGCAATGCCCCGGGAGGGCGCGCACACACACGAACACACACATTGTAACCATGAAGGAAGGCAAAACTGAAACGTGCCAACTCTGACTCGGGGCTCCCCGAGGGCTGAGCAGCGAGGGTGAGAGGAGGAACAGGCCCTTCGGAGGGGCGGGCAGCCCCAGCCCAGGCCAGGCGCCACTGCGTGTGGGTGTGATTACCACGCCTCGCCTGCACGCGGCTCTGGACAGATGTCTGCAGAAAGCACAGGCGCTCGCGTACGGGAAATGACTGAACACGTAAAGAAGAGACCAGAACTTCCTGGAGTCACAGGAAAAGCGGCGGAGAGCACGGGTGGAGAGGTGAAGACGTGAGCAGCAGGCTGCAGCCTGCCGCGTCTAGAGGGCAACCGGCGGGAGGCTTCCTTCGAGCCATGCAGGAGCCACTCCGCAGGAAGGCTCATGGGTCGTGCTCACTTACTTGTGCTTTGGTGGCAGGGTACTTAATATCTAGAATTAACTCCTTTATTTCTGTTTCAATCGAATCTGCAAGAGAGTCAAAGCCGAGTTTTCACTTTTTGTGGCAGTGAGGAGGACAGACACCCGGGACCCTCGGCCAGCCTGCACTGGGGCTCCCTGGCGTCACAGTTCCGGGCCCTGGGCACTCCACCCCACAGCGCCCACCGCTGCCACCACCTACCTGGAACGGGCGGCCTGGCTTTCAGCAGGGCTGCCAGCCTTTTCACCAGGTGCACGTCCTTGGCCCGCTCGCACTTCTTGTCACTGAAATACCGAGGCGACAACTCCTTGTAGTGCGTGAGGCTGCCTTCCCCCTCCAACTTCCCACTGAACTTGAAAGCAGTCAGCCTGACGACCCCGGCCCAGTGCAGGGGGCGAGGTCAGCAGAGGGCGCAGGGCGCAGGCACCGGGCCTTACCTCAGCGCCAAGTGGAAGGGGACATTCACTGTCTTCACACTTCCAGACACCGGGTCCACGAGGCAGATCTGGTACGTCTGTGGCTGCCAGCTTTGGCTGGTGACATTGTTTAGGCCCATTATTTTATAGCCAGGATACAACAGCCTAAGAGAAGCACACACCAAGACAGTAAAGCTATTAAACGAAAAGCCAAAGGCACTGTGACCCCAGCTAGGGAACCGCATCTTCTCCTCAGGTCAGGAGCATTAGCAAGGCCGGGGCCAAAGCCGGGAGGAAAGCAGGACCCGACGGGCAGTTCTTCCTGTAACGTGGTGCCAGAACTAAGAGCACACAGGCGAGCTCATGATTCAGAGGCAAATACAGGAGAAGCTACAGGAGAGAACACTCCGACTCCCCAACCCCATGCAGCGTGGCCGGCAGCTACCCGAAAGCTGCCTTTAGGGACAGCATCCCGGGATCCCTGGCAGCGGCGGTGGCCAGGGCCGAAGCTCACCGGCAGTGCTTGCCCACGTTGAAGGCTCCGACTCGAGGCCCCTGCTGCGTGCTCCACACCTCCAAAATCCCCCTCCTTGGCGCATAGATCACAAGGAACTGAGCCACCCGGCTGGGGCCCTGGCTACTTCCGAAGGGGGCGGGGTCGGCCGTCTCCGGCGCTCTCTCCTGGAGGTCCTCCACGATCTGCGCCCACCCGACCTGCGCGTCTCGGTACCCTGGGGACGCAGAGCGGAAGCGGTAGTTATGAAATGAGGTACAGCAGCAACCCCTGGGGAACTGGGGAGGACGGCATCAGAAAAGCTACATAAGCCCATTATCGTTTTCCTGTAAATATCTTAAACAGAAGAGATGATCACAGCTATGGCCGTCACTGAAGCTGAGGGGCCCCTCTGCCCCTCTGTCTGGGACTCCTTTCCTCCAGAAAACCTGGACGACGACCAGGTCTGCCTCTGAAGTAAAGGCCTCGTTAACGTGTGAGATCTGGTCACTGTCCTGCCGCCGGAGCCCCGCACGGACAGAGGCACAGCCACAGTGGTGGCTGAGGACGCTCCGCGTGTCGAGGCACCTCTCAGGCCAGCACACAAGGGTCAGGAACACGGCCAGGCCACCTTACGACTGCGCGGTGCGCCAGCCGCGGAGTCCCCCTGGACCGGCTGCACAAGTCTCAAGAACACAGCTTGGACGCCATCGAGAAGACAGCCCTGGGGACACGGCGCCTGCAGCCCGACACTCATTTCCACACACAGACAACAAGGCACGAGGCGGGCAGACTCTGCTGTCTCCAGTCTCTGGCCAGGTCGGGGGCCCATCCAGTCCCGGGGCATTCACTGTCCTCCGGTCCTCCTTCTCCACACCAAGCACGGCCAAGGCGGCTCTGCGGTGGAGCTCCGGCCAGCGTGCAGCACACACATGCCGCTGCTGCGCGTGGCCCGGAACCGCGCACCCCCACCCCGCTCCTCAGACTCTGCTCCACCACGCTGGCGGAGCGGCTCGAGGAGGCGCCCGCAAGTCCTGCAGAGCCAGGCGCGATCACGTCACTACGTCACTACGTCCCGTACGGACCCGTGGAGAAGCCGGGGGACACGGGACCCTTTCTGAAGTGATGGGCTGAGCTGGCAGGAGCATCCCGCTTCCTTCCTGGAGTGCAGAGGAGGCGGTTGGCTGTGAGAACCCGGACAGAGGACACCACACACGGCGTCCCCAGCAGGACACGACGCTGACATCGCGACCCATAAACCACTTGCCCAGGCGTCCGGATGTAAGTCAATCAGTGAAGAGAGACCGGGCCTCCTTCTGCGCCCCTAGCCGACAGACGTGGCACTCTGGGTTTGGGAGGACACCAGCCTCAAGGGGGCGCTCGGCTGAGTCAGACCCAGAACGCAGCCGGCGGAGGCGCCCACGGACAGCACAATGAAAGGACTGATGTGCCAAACGCTGCTGGCCCCAACTCACGCGGAAAGGAGACAGCACGAACACAAGGGCTAGCGCTGCGCTACCAACCGGGGGCGGGGGGGGTGCAGCCCAGCTGCTGTCGGGCCAGGAGGCCAGTGGAGGGTCTCTGCGAGTTTCCAAGTACCTTTCCACATGCGTATTGCGATTCCTCTAGCGACATCCAATAAGAGGACTCTGCCGAAATCATCCGTCACCGCTGCCAGCGTGTTACATGGGGACAAACATATGCTTTCGCCATGGCGCCTAGAATCTGGAAGTCCAAATCTGTTATTTAGGAGAAAATAAGATCACATTCCAGCCTCAAAACATGGATACAACAACGAAACGCATGACTGAAAAAGACTGTCTTCACATACAGAAATATGAGCCTTACCCGGATGGACAGTAAATTAGTCACATGTGACATTTGCAATATAAAATATACACAAGAAAGAAAAACACAACCCTACATAGGCTTTCACCACAAAACCCACAGTTCCGTTTTTTCAGAGAACATCAGTCGTCATTCTGTATCTCCTGGATAAGAGGCAGGTCAAAGGAGACCATGCGCCCCTAGCCAGCGAAGTCTTAGGGTGCCTGGCTCCCACATGAGTGGCTCCGCCTGTTTTTCTTGTTTCTAATCTTTGCTCTTTGTTGACAGATAGCACTACTGCTGACACAATTTACCTGCTAAAGCAAGAATTTCCCTCTTTCTAAGCAGTTATGCCGAACTGCTACTTGCCTGTAATCAACTTTCCTTTTTTTTTCTTCTGGGAATCAAACTCAGGACCTTGAGCTTGCAGGGTGAGTGCTGTGCCGCTGAGCTATAGCTCCCACCCACCCTTCCCTTCTCTGAGACAGCCTCACTGTGGGGCAGGCTGGCCTTCAACTTTCAGTCCTCTGGGTGCTGGGCCTAACAGCATGCACCATGAGGACACCTGGGTATAATGAACCATTTTAGAACTGTAAAAGGTATAGAAAAAAGGACCAGGACATTCTAAGCTTTTGTTACATAAATTTGAGATACAAAGGGCCATTTGGCTAATTTCTTGATTGTTGAGTGACTTAGGAAATGTGAGATGTTATAACATTTTAAAATAAGATGTAAAAAACTCAAGATAAACATCAATGAATTTTATTAATAATGAGTAGGATTTCTACTGCTAAAGAGCATCTTTTAAACGAGGCAGGAGTACTTGTACTTTATATTAGATAGTAAGAAATGACTTAAAAACAAAACCAAGCAAAGAGCACGTCTCCCTCCATCCTGAAGACTCTCACAAATATTGTCACTGTAGTAAACAAGAAGGCACAACCCAAGGCTTGCAGAGAGCTTGGATACACGCTTTTTAAGTTTTTATAGCTTAGCGGAAAAACAGCTTTTTAAAAAGAAACTGAACAGCTAGCACCACCCCAACTTCCTGGCACCTTGGGCTACGTTTATGGATGTTGGCTACAGAGCAGCCTCAGATCCACCCGGCCGCACCCCGGGAGACGGCGGTGACCACACACAAGAACCACTCTTCCCGGGGATTCACACAGAGTTGGAAGGGACCCCATGCCAATGCGTCCAGCTTAGGACCTTTCTTTCGTCCTCCCCTTTTTATTTTCAGGGGGAGGGAGGTACTGGGTGGCACTGAACATGGGCCTTTCACTGAGTTATTTCTCTAGCCCTTCCATTTATCGATTTTTGTGGCACTGGGGATCAAACCTGGGCCTCCACACATGCTAGGCAGGTGCTCTACCACTGAGCTACACCTCCAGCCCGACCCACCTCTTCAGAGAGCGCTAGTAGGTGCTTACGGTAAAAATGGCCACATCGAAGAACTACTTAGCCCAGCACACATTCAGTGTGATGGGAGCTACGTTCCTTCCTTCCTGTTTTTTTTTTTATTTTCTTTGTGGTACTGGAGATGAACCTAAGGGTGCTCTACCAATTGGGCTGCATCTCCAGTCCTCCTATTTTTCACTCTGACAGGCTCTTGAGGAGCTTCTCAGGCTAGCCTTGAGCTTGCACTCCCCGCGCTTCAGCCTGCAGAGCAGCTGGGACGGGCGTGCTGCCTTGCAGGACATCCCTGAGGTCCTGAGTGGTGAGCAGCGGGACAGACTTGCCTTACAGCTAAAGGGGTAGCTGGCTCCACCTTCGGCTTTTGCTTCTGGACAGCCTCTTCTTCGTGCTTATTTTTCCAACCAAGCCAACCACTGAATAGGAAGGAAATTGAGAACATAACTAGGGCTTCGAGGGTTTACAGTTCAGGTGATCAAAATGTCAGTGAAAACCAAACCACACGCAAGTGAGCTAGTTTCTGGTTAGTTACCTGGCAGCATTAAATAAAGCGGAAGTGAGTTTACTTGCAACTGCGAGCGCAACATGAGATAATAACGGCTGTGTGCTCCCCTGAAAAACAGGATACGGAAGAGAGAAAAGTTAGAAGCTCACGAAGGAGTGAACCCCCCTTCCAAAGAAGACGCACTTTGGAGAAGCTGTAAAGCCCGCACTAGCAGTTCAGCTTCTTATTTCACCAGCAGTACAAGAAAGTTTCAACTCTCTTTAAATTGTAATTTAATTAAAATAAATGTTAAACTATCCCATTAAAATGACATTATTCTAGATGAGTTATGGGTTTCTTATATACACACAGCTGGCTCTTTTCCTTTTGTTTTAAAAGTACCTGTTTTTATAAAAGTAAAAAGCCAGTTTGGACCATCCTGAGAAGGCTGACTTTTAAGCGAGAAATAAGAACCGCCAAGTAACACCTAACTTCTGCCCATTTTAGAAGCAGTTCTCACCACCTACTTCAGCTGCAGTTGGCAGCGCGCTCGCCTTACAGCCCGCACCTGCTTGCTCCCTGGCGGGCTGACGCAACTAACTCCTGACTGCCGCGCTGCTGTCTAGCGGGAGCTCAGCTGTCAAAGGCAGCAGGGCTCCAGGAACACAAGTTTGCTTTTCCCTGGCTTCGGTCCCTTCAGACTACAAAGAAACCTAGAACTAACTAATTTTAGCTTCAACTGAAATGTGCAACATGAACTGCCCATCTGTCCAAGGCTACGGACGGAGTCCACAGCCGTGCGGGGGCTTCTGGGCGGTGAGTGACCGGCCTACCTCCAGTGCATAGAAGAAGCCAGTGAAGGGGTTGGCGCCCACAGTGACGTACTGCGACATGGCAGGCGGGCTGTTTTTGATTGCTGCGTTGAACCCACCTATGTTGGAGGCCGTCTTCATCTGATCAAAAGGGGACAGGGTCATAATACCTAGTGACGCCAGACATAAAAACACGTGATTAGAATGTCCTGAAAGGACATTCTCATTGTAGGTCACACTTCTACTTCAATGTGCTGTTTAGCTTTAGTTAAGACACAAGTCATGTCGAAAACTACAAAATCAACATTAAAATATTCATAAATATTAAAATTGTCATCTATAATTTTTCTACCTTATAAAATATTATAAAAACAAAATTTAAATATTAACTTTTTTTTGAGACAGGGTCCCACTATGCAGTTCAGGCTGGCCTTGAACTCACTTTGTAGCCCAGGCTAGCCTTGAACTTGCAACAATCCTCCTGCCTCAGCCTCCCGAGTGCCGGGATTACAGGCATGTACCACCACGCCCAGCGGTAAAATATTCACTTTTTGAACAGATACAAACTCAGAAGGTACAAGAAGTGTACAAAGCACCTCTATCGCCAGCCAGTTCACTTCTGGGAGGCAACAAGGAATGGTGCTTTGTGCCGCCTTCCAGGGAAGCTTCGGACACACAGAGCACCAGACACTGACATATCCCTCACTCCCTCTGCTTAATGAACTTGAAAGTCCCCATTCTCCCCAGGCCCTAGCTCCTTTCTGTGGACACCCCATAACCAGTGTGACCCACTCACAGACCACCAGGCTGTTTCCCATCCTTCTGCATGTATTTACACATGCATGAACACATATGCATATGCACGCGGCTATGGCTTGTGTCTAGATGTCCCGCCGAAGCCCCTTGCAGTCGTAGGTGGGCCTTCTTCAGGGTGGCTGATTTCTAGTTTTCTTTGTGATTTTTGGAAGTAGGGAGAAGAAGAACTCCTAAACCCAAACCTACCCAATGTGGCCTTCACTCTCCCTTCCACTGCAACTGTTCTCATCGGGAGCCAACAAGGAGCTCTACGCCGCTGAGCCCGGGGACCGTCTCCCTGGCATTCTCTGACACACCGCCCTGTGCCAGCCTCCAGACCTGTGCCCGTGCTCTGTCCTCCTGATGCCTCCATCTAATGCCAGCTCGTGCCCGCCGTCGCTCCCTGTCTGCCCACCCAGAGCTCTGCTTCCCCGTCCTTCTCACTTCCTCATGCGCTCCACCGCGCAGGCTCGAAGTTAGGAAACTGCTAGGCTTTCCCGTCTCTCGTTTTTTAAATTCATGAAGTACAAACAGATCTTGTCTCTCTCCACCTCTCCTGCTCCACCGCCCGGCCCTGCATAAACCTTCGTTGGCTCACTTTCACTGCCAGAGCCCTCATGCTGCTCTTGGAGGCCTTCAGTCTGCTCGGTGTCTCCAGCACCAGTGCTGTCCCTAGGACATAACGGGGGTCATCTGCCAAGTGGCCTCATTAGGCCTTGGCGTAAAGGCACACAGCTGTAGGCTGGGGACAAATGAACAGAATAACCATTTCTATTCAAGCACTGTCCCCAGCCAGTTTCAATGTTCCAAAGTTTAATTACCAGTGCAGGGAAGATACCCTGAACTGAACTCAACACTTTGGAATTTTGATGCCAGCATTTTCACGTTATCAGAAAAGTAAAGACACTGCGTGTGTGCCAAGGAAGGGTTTACTCCAGGGCATGAAGAACTCACGGCAGGCACCATGTAGTCCTGCTCTGGGGGCCTGTGTGCCACACACCTCCTGCTCTGCCCCTGGGCCAGTCTCCACGACTCATGCCAACTTCTGGTTGAACTCATACAACAAAAAGCCCCATCAGGCGATCCAAGAGAGAAGGGGCCAAGTCAGATGTTAATTTCCTGGTCCCCCCCGAGAGCCGGCGGGGCTCAAGACTGGAAGTTGCCCCGCTTTCCAGCCCTGGTTCCAAGTTCTGGCGCTGCCTGTGCCTGAGTCTCCTTCAACCTCGCTGTGGGGAACAGCTCGGCACTGTGAAGCTGGCCCTGAACTGTTCTTCGCTGGTTCTCCTGTGCCACGCTTTCACCAAAAGCGTTCTCCCAGTCATCTTACTTCACATGTGCCACCTGCCTTGACTAGGGCTCTGGCTGATGAGACGCACACCTGGAAAACCTGATGTGAAAAGCTCTTCATGATGCACTGTCATGGTTTGTGTCTGGATGTCCCCCAAAGCCTCATGCAGTCATGGGTGGGCTTCTAGAGTTTGTGATTGATCCATGGTCCAATGCTGGGATTTGGGGTATGAATGCTACACTCGCCCTGGAGCGGGCCGCCTGCATACAATACAAGGGAGGCAAAGAGGCTTGCTCTCTGCTGCTCCTCCATTTTTGCTCTTGCTGCGTTTGCTGTCTTCTTCAGCCATGAGCTGCTACCCTATGCCATGTGCCGCTCTGCCTTGGAGCCAGCTGAGTATGGACCGAAACCACCGCGAACTTGGAGCTACATACACCTTTCCTTCCTTAATTTTGGGCATTGAGAATTTTGTCCCAGCAATGAGAGAAAAGTAACCACACCCAGGAAAGAGTGGCACAATGCAAACCCGTGTGAGAATGTGTCACCCACATGTCTCTATGCGCACCGCACACACGTACACCCACACTGGAAAGTCTCGAGGCGAGGGTGGCCTCTGGATGGTAGGACCATGGGAATTTGCTCTTTGTACATTTGTGCACCATTTGAATTTTCAACCAGCATATAATGCATGAAGAGAAAACACACAGACACGCTTTTAAACAGCATTTTCTTCTGCTCCACCCCACTCTGACGGCCTGAACTCAGACGCCCATTACTTCTCACCAGGGTTATGAACTTGCCTTGCCAGGCCTGGCCCACCCCTCTAGCCACAACACTGCACCTAGTACCCCTCCAGCTGCGCTGTGGTGCTGCTGCTCTCTGCCTGGAAGACCTCAGCGCCTCAGTGTGGCTGGGAGAAGCTCTGAAGGGAAATCCAGAGATGCAGCTCCAACTGGAACACAAAGCCCTTAAGGTCGGACGCCTTCCATACGCCCGGCCCCGCACTCCCACTTGCGCCCATGCTCAAGCTGGTTAGGCGTCTTCTGTGCCCTTCTCTCAGCAACTCCTCATTGTTTCAACCTAACCATGCCTCCTCTTTGCCCGAGCGCCCACTGCTGGGCGTCCCTGTGCTCCTGCCCGGACATCCAGACACAAACCGAAACAGTGCCCCGTCAAGAGCCTTTCACATCAGGTGTTCCTGCTTGCTGCTATGTTCTGATGCCTGACACAAAGGCCTCCAGCACTGTTTGCAAGAACAAACCTGGTTTTAGCAGTCTTCTGCTGATTGGTTACATTTTACAAACATTACAGGGGCAAAAACCATCTGCAGAAAAATTAAGTCAAATAGGAAGCAACTTAAATACTGCTGCGAAGGCCAGGATTTAATAAAATTGCTACTACTACTTAAAGACTTGAGACTCTGGCGACCCGAGCCTGACGTGAACTCCGAAGTCTCACTACAGGAAGTACAGTTTTCACAGAAGGATGAACGTCCATTTCTCAGACATGGGCCGTCCAGTCCCGGAGTCCGCAGTGAAGCCCAGGACAACCTGCACAGGCAACGCTCACCAATACTAGCGTGGTCCACGATGCTGTCCACATCCTGCAGACCCCACTTCTTATAGGCCAAGGGTGGCGGCTGGATGCTCTCGGTGCCTGATGCTGCAGCTGCCAGAGACAAAAATCAGACCACTCATGATCACAACGGGCGAAACGAAGTTCCACAAGAATAACCAGGTATATAGTATTTGTTATTTTAAAGTTTCAACTAATAAAGAAGCTAACTAAGGAAATAAGGTATAGTGACATTGTTCATGGCACGGCAACAGACGTAAAATTGCCAGTATTTAAAAGGCTGCTTCAAGAGATTTTTGGAACATCCAGGTAATTACAGAACTATTAGCTGGGAATGGTGGGCATGTCTGTAATCCCAGCCCTGGGGAGGCTGAGGCAGGAGGATCACTGCAAATTCAAGGTCAGCCTGGGCTACAAAGTGAGTTCAAGGCTAGCCTGAACTGCATAATGAAATCCTGTCTCAGAAAGACAGAAAGAAAAAAAAGAAGAAGAAGACTACTAAAAATCCTAGAAGAGCACTAAAGATCAAGGTGAATTCAAACTGAACTTGATGCCAAACAACCAGTCTCTCACACTTCAGACAGTCAGGGAAACCCTCGAACAGCAACCGGGGCTGTGCTTGGTGGAAAGTGAGAAACCAGAGCAACAGACTTGGTCTCTGGCCTCAGCAACCACAGCTGGACGGGACAGACAGTGACAGTGCTGGGCACCTGTGCCCCGCCTCTGTCCCTCTCCCTGGTGAGAGGTGAGGGGAAAATCCGCCACTATCACCTCCGGCCATAAATTCACGCAAGGCCCCGTTCTCAGCAAAGTCCCCTGTTACAGAGAACACCGCTGAATGCTGACTGATGCTTCTGGGCTGTGAAGACAGCATGCTAATGAGGGAGAACATAACCCTTCAAATCAAATCCTGCAGATGTGACAAGAAGACCAAAACGGCAGTGTCCTAAATTGTGAAATAAATGTCACAACCATCTGTAGCTAACTCTGGAGGAACTCAGGACACTAAGTGGCTTCATTCCTTATTTCCTTGGAGACAAGATGACCACGTGGTCTTCTACATAACAAGTAAATGGGAATTTAAAACGAATGCAAAACTAAGTGGCTGACAATGCCAATTATAACAGAATTATCCATTTCTAGTTTGGTACTACAATTCTTTTTTTTCTCCGGTACCAGGAACCGAACTCACGACCTTGCGCTTGCCAGGCAGGCGCTTTTGCCACTGAGCTAAATCCCCAGCCCCGGTACTACAATTCTTACCTACAGAAAACTGGCAGTCTCTTTGGGCTTCATCAATGGTGACTATTTTAAATAAACGGTGACTAATTTAAATAAATGATGTTTATGGTAGGTTAAACTTAAGCAATTTAAAAGATTATGAATACAGGTATAAAATTCAAAAATGTTCTGACCTAGTATAAAAGCATATACTAGTAAAAAGAACTACATATCCAAACCTTCAGAATTTTATCAATCACAGCCTATGATGAACAGAAAAATTTCGTATTGCAATAGAAATGATACATTTTTCCCACCGAAGAAATCATTTATTTTGCATCTTACAGGTGATCCGGATTTAGAAATTTTTATGAAGTGACAAACCCATCCTAATGAGAGTGTTCATTTCAGGGAACTGTCTCAACGACTGAGGGGTTCAGCTAAGGGCCACCGAGGCTCCTCTACCAGTCCCAGGAAGAGAGGAAGCAAGCACTACCACTGGTACTTTTCAGGAGCTTGTCCTCTCTCCCTCGCATCTGAACATCTCTCAAACAGAGATCCTGAAAATCATTAATGGTGTTTTTCACTAGCATTATTATTTTTTTCTTTTTAGAGTCAAAATGACGTTGCGCCTCAGGGCCAGTGGCATCTTGAATTTGATGAAACACATTGTCCTCTTGCAAGGACGCAATGGGACTAGAATGTAAACCGTGAGGAGCAAGTAAGGGTGCACCCCTAACAGCGCAGCACCTGGGACACTCGTGAAGTTCAGGCCTCTCGCTTTCCTCACTTCGAGGGCTCCAGTCTGAGCACAGGCTGATGCTGATCTGTGCTGGGCTCTGCCTGGCCTGAGGGAAGCAAGCACCCGCACAGAGGACGCCTCGATGCTCGGTGGGGAGGGAGCAGCGTAGTCACAGGAGTGTGGTACCCATCCCGAAGGCTGCTGCCCAGTGAGGAATGTACCACATGCAGCCCAGTTCCCACCCGCTGCTGCTGTCTGCACAGCAGCAAGCCTGTCCCCTGCAAGGGTGCCCTGCGGAGCCGGAGCAGGAGGCCCGGGCTCCGGGCTGCCTTCCCCGCCACGACACCTGGAGTGTACTGGCCTCGCGGCCCTGCCTCTCGCTACGCAGCGCCCCCAGCGGGGCACTCTTGTGTTCACGGGCGAGTGAAGCCCCCCGCTCACTGGGAAGACTTGCTTAGTGCTGTAACCAGGTCACATTCAATCACACAACATCGTAACAAGTGAAATGTCTCTTGCCAAAAAGTACCTTTTGCTACCTGGTTTCGACAGGCACGAAGAGACTGAAAAAGGCTGAATCCATCAATGGTCACAATGGCCGCTGGGTATAAGATACTCAATTCTTCATTCTATTAAAGAAGTAAGCAAGGGGAAAACGATACATTTTTCTTATGTAAATTTGGAAAGTAAGTAATTTTTAAAATACCCGATTGACATCATGAATAACATAAAGTAAAATACTGTGCACGTCCAATACCAAAGCAGTATCAGGCAGAAGAACAACAAAAACAAAATCAAAAATTAATTCCAGAATGCCTCTGCCGAAGACTTAAAATTCTTCTCTAACAGGAGCTTTTGGACGTGGTAGGAAAATGGTCCTTTCCACATAGTGGAAAACTAACGAAAAATTTTTCAGTATCATAAAAATGAAATACAGTCACTGCACAGATACAAGCACAACGTAACAAGAAGAAAGCGCACCTGAGGCCTAGACACACCCCAAGCACACCCCACATGTACTCACACACGCAGACATGGACCATACCACGCTGTACTCTGCAACAGGCTTTGTTACCAATAATGCCGACGCTGTGCTCCCACATAAGTAAATAAGCAAACCATTACCTTCCCTAGAGCTACAGAGGAATCCCTGGAGAGTCCTCTTTTTTGAGACTGGGTTGCCCTGTGTTGCCCAGGCTGGCTTTAAACTCCTGCGCTCCAGCAATCCTCCTGCCTCAGCCTCTCCAGCAAGGGCAAATATACACCAGCGTGCCAGGCTCTGTACCTAATTTTACGCAACCAATGCTTCCTGGCGGACATTCACTTGGCCTCTGCTTCTCCACCTGCTTTCTGCGACCCCACACAGCGGCGCCCCTTCACGAGCCGCGGTGGACGGAACCGCTCTCCTGGTGAAGGTGCCGCAGCACTTCCGCCTGCACCTGGAGCGTGAGCGGGCGCAGGCCGCCCATAGGTCTGTCGTGTGCTGCCCCTGACGCCTCTGCCCTCCGCAGGGAGGTGCTGACACTTCGCGCCCCGCAGCGTGCCCGTCTCCTCCTTCCAATCCTCCCCGCAGCCTGTGCCTGCTCAGGCCTCAGCTCAGAGTGCCCCCCAAGGCACGCCATCTCCACAGCAGCCCGCCCTCCTCCACCTGGCTCTCTCCAGCTGTGTGCTGCAGCTGCCCCCAGCAGCCCGCGTGGGCCCTGACGGCAGGGAGCCTGAGTGTGGCCCGTCCCGAGAATCTCCAGGGCTTGCCATTGGACGGGACAAGTTGAGTGTGGATGAATGGGTTTATTTCATGATTATAAACATCACTGCAAAAAGTGTTCTTCTGTCTCCAGCTTTGTACCTCAGCAGGGCGTTACTTCAGTAGTTCAATGAAATTCCTTCAAGTGAGTCTGCGGGGTCACAGAATAGTCGCAATTTTCACTTTCCGTATTACTGTTACGCAGACTGCAGCACTCAGCAGTTTATACTCCCCCAAGAGCATGGCAGTGCCTATTTCTCCTATCACCACCACCAGTTTGGGGGTCTCTAGCTTTGCCAACGTGGCAGGTGACAAAGGGTCTCGCTGTACGCTTCTCACACTTAACTATGAAGGTGCTACACTTTCTCACACGCATTGGGGCCGATTACGTTCCCTGGGGTCTCCCTGCCCTTCCTCTAGGCTGCTGGCTGTTTCTACTTGAAAGGAGACTCTGCACCACGAGAAGCAGCACCGGGCATGGAGCCGGTGAGCGTGCTCACTTGTGTGTGCAGGGATGGGGCCTCCTCACTGGCTGATCAGCCTCAGGACAGAAAGGTCCTAACCACCCAGACCAGAGGGCTTCCCTAGCAAACACGACACAGACACAGCGGCCCCAAGCCTGCGGGCACCGTGCCAGAGGACAGGAGATTCTTGTGCAGAGGGGACAGGGCTGACACTGCAGAAACGGAGCCTCTCCTAGGAGCCTGCCCTGCAGCGACTCGAGCTCACCCTGACTGCACCTCGGCTCAAACCGAGGAGGAGGAGGAGGACGATGAAGATGCCTGTGGCCTGGGCTGGACCTGGACTGAGGGGAAGCAGGCCAGCAGGACGCTCTTGACAGATGCGCCAAGGCCCAGGCCAGGTCCCAGGGTTCCCACGGCGCACAGAGCCACATGAAGGCTTTCTTGTCCACGTGTCATGAGAAAGCTTTCGCTACTGGTGATTCTCTTGGCTTGTACAGCAAATAACAAGCAAATATTTCAGAGTCAAGTGATTTTTCCACCAATGACGTGAGCAGGCCTAGAGGCCGAAGGGACCTTCATGCCCCAGTGGATGTGCGGCACACGCAAAGTGTCTTGAGAGGTCTCCTGAATTCAAACCTCACCTTAGGGTTACCTGTTCCCTCTGTGCTGCCTCCTCTCTCCTCAGGACAAACACCACTAAGACTTCAGTCCTCAACCTGCAGCTCTCCCGTCCCCACCCTTCACCCGGAAGAACCCAGGGCCTCGACTTCCAGCATCGGCTCCAGTCTGGCCGCTGCGCCCACGCAGCGGCTCTGCATCCTGACCGCATGCTCACATGGTCATGTTATTTCCTCCCCTGCGCGGAGCTCCGCACCCCAAACCACGTGCAGTAACCTTTACTTAGTCCCCTTCCCACTCTGCCAGTCCGCCCTTGACCCACTTGCCTTTAACATGCCGCATTCTGAGGCGACAGCCACGTCCCGCTGACCGCTCCTTCAGTGTGACTTTTGTTCTTGTCCTCTCCCTGCCCACACCGCTGGAGATGAGATAGAGGCCCAGGCGGCCAGCTGCCCTGCGACCAGCTCACCTGAAGAAAGGGTCTCTCACCTCAGCTCCTCCCGCTCGCGGACCCTAGGGAGCTCCTCTCCTCTCCGATCGTTCCTGTTTCTATGACGTCTGGCCGCTCTGCCTACTCACGGGCCTCCCTGCTCTCTGACGTAGGGGTCTTCGCTGAAGCGCACATATTTCTGTACCTGGGTCTTCTCTCATTTTTCCCTTGATTACCTGATTACTTTCCCCTCTTTTTCCACTACCTAATTAATTAAATTCTTGTCCATTACTCCAGGCTTAAGTGAAATCTCATCTTTTTCATGAAACTTTCTTAGTCCTAACTGAGCTCCCCCTTCTCTAATGTGTACAGAATTTATTCTGTCCATGTAAATTAGCAAGCAGGTATTCCTACACCACTAACTCACTCACAGGTATTAAGAGATATTAAGCTAGTTTCTCTTAAGAAATACACAATCTTATTCTATAGCTGCAGGCCAGCTATCATGCGATTTCAGTCTCCTGTGCACACAGCACATGCAACCATTCACTGGAACCTTCTGGAATCCAGGAAGCACAAGAAAGGGAGGCGCAGTGGACAGCTTTGACTGTGGACGCTGCACACCGAGGGGCGGCCCTGCGCTGCACTTAACCTTCTGAGGCTGTGCTGTAGCTAGAAGCTCACAAAGCATCCAGGCAGACGCACAAGCCTCACATACTGAGTGGCATTATTTTCACAGTCATATTTTTCAATAAATACATTTTTTCATAATACACAAAAACACTTTTTTGAGAAACAGTTAAGTACAGAGTACTGTACTAGTACTACTAATGGTAAGATCAGAACTTAACTTTTGCTAAGGTAAACTTGACTTCTAGGTCAAAATAGAAAGAAATAAGCTACAGAGCACACATGTCTGCTTTGTTAGAGTCTGAAACTAAGAAACTTGCACCGCCGCCCGTTTGTTCACGCTACCTGCTCAGTCACGCCGGGGTGCCGGGGGATCTCGTAGGTCCTGCACTTCAGCTGCAGCACCGTGTCCTCGTTCAGCAGCTGTGCGAGCAGGAGCACGCCGTTCTAGGGGAAGCACAGAGAGGTGCCCGCCGCGGCTTTCTCCCCGAACCTGCGCAGGACACCAGGGGGGCACTGTCCTGGCATCCTCTGCGGGACCAGTTCTTTCAGAACCAGCTTTGCTTCTCTGACTTTTCCACCAGAAGGTCCAGTCTGTCCTGGCCGCCACCCCCTCAAGCATCACAGACACATCTCCAAGGGAGAAAACTAAGTCACAGCCAGCAAAGGCGGACACAGAGGTACTGCAGTCAACTGGCTTTGTAACTGCTGAAAACTCAACTTACCTCGGTATAGAAGCGCACATAGCCTGAAGTAAAACCCACCACGATGCAGGTCCAGTCAGGACGCCCAGTGGAACTCCTGTCACAAACAAAACCCATGACCTCACCAACTCGCACACCAGTGCAGAGCAAACAGAAAGCCTGCGCTCACCCTCACCTCTTCTGGCTCGCCAGTGGGATGCACAGAGCACTTGTCACCAATTCCCTAAGGACAAAAGCAGAATGAAAATCAAAATCCTATGCCTAACCGGTGAACTTAGCAATTCCTTTTATTTCTCTATAGTCTGGTGGTAAATGGAAGTAAGGGGTCAGTTCTATTTGATGTATAAGCAAAAATACAGTAACACTGCACCATAAAGTTTATCCACACAAGCTGTAATATATTCATTTTCAAGTTAACAAAAACAGTATTCACTTTTTGTCTCAAAAAAGCATGAAAGAGAGCCAAGTGTGGTGGTGCATGCCTGTAATGCCAGCACTCAGGAGGCTGAGGCAGGAGGATCACTGTGAGTTTGAGGCTACTCTGGGCTACACACTGAGTCCAGGTCAGCCTGAACTACATAGTGAGACCCTGTCTCAAACAAAAAAAAAAAAGCATGAAAAAAAGCAAAATTTTACTTACACAACTGACTGTATCAGAAACTATATCTCAAATGATCAAGTAAGAATGCCAGCCTCCTCCTTGCTGAGGCCGGGGATGGCAGAGGGCAGGAGGAAGGAGTGGTCACATTACATGCAGATGGTTCTTCTGTGGGACGTGGGTATATATTTATATTTTCCCCAGTACTCAGGATTGAACCAGGACCTTGCACACAACAGACAAACACTCTAACCCTGAGCTCCACCCCCAATGGATGTGTTCCTTTAGGGATGCTACACTTCAGCTAGCTGGTTTCTTCTTGTATATTTTGTAGAACTACCCTTTTAATCATTTTTCTAAGTAGCTGTTAGCACTGACACTACCTAAAAGAAGATGTTTTCCCCTTGCTATGTAGACTTGAAATGCTGTCAGGAGCTCAGAGACTAAGCCTTAAAATCCACACAGCCACTACTGCCTGGTGCTCGTTTAAGCTGTCCAACCTGAGGAAGCCATCAGCACCCCGCTCCACCCATCACGAGGAAGTCCCTGCACTGTATGAATCCTGGTTTTTTTTAAAGTAACACGTTTGCTGTTCATTTACAACAAGACATTTTAATTTGCTTAAAATGCTTTGATAAAATGAAAACTACTGCATCTCTTGACAATAGTGGAAAACATTTCACTCTCTCCAGCGTGCCAGGCGCTACAGGTACTTCTGCTCGACATCTTTCCTCTGGATCGAGTCTGAAGGGCCTCCCTACTCGTTCTCAGCAGCGTCTCGGCACGAAGATTTAACCAAACGCTGCTCTTGGCCCAAGGTTCCAGGCTAGCAGCCCCATAGGGTGACCCCTCCAGAGAGCTGGGTTTCAGGAGTTTCTCTGGGTCAGCAGGGAACTCAGTGCACTGCCTCGCCTGTCTGGATACCTGTGAGCACTCCGTGTGGCACAAGTCCGAAACTAGCCAAACAGGACAAGCACCCTCGGCTCTTTGGATGACTAAATTTAACTGCAGAGAACGGAGGGAAAAGACAGGGTGTGAAAAGGGTTTTATAGGGTTTTCTCTGAACTCTACTCTTCTTTACATTGGACTTAATAAATCACATAAGTAGAACTTGCTGTCCAAACCGTTCTTTACAACCTTTGGTTGGGATGCACATTTATTTAAATAATTCCACGTGATAAAACTTAACAGATTCAGTTACAAGTCAGTTTCACTTATGTATTTAATTCACAGAAAAACAGATTAACTGGCACCTACCCTTCTTCAGCACTTAAAGCGCCACTCCAAGCAACGGCAAACTGCATTTCTTCCTTTCCTTTATCACTCTGTTTCCATTTTGCTGAAAAAATAATCAAGATACCACATAAAACACCCTTATAGTACACGGAGACAGTAATTTATACATTTTGCTCTTTCCCTTTAGAAGGATGAGTATAGAACTTAATAGTTCTGTATTAACTGACTTGGGTGTTTTTTACAGGTAAATAAAGATAAGACTTAATTTTTTAGAGATTTTATAGTATCACCCGGTCTCTTAGCCTTTGGTCATCGTTCTCTCAATTAAACTCATACAACGTTTTCATAGTACTTGCAGAATAAGGTTTTTAATTCCGATGCACCACCCTACCTATTTTATCTATAAGATCACTTCTATCCTCAGAGAGCAGAAGAAATTTTCTGTGGCACTGTGCTACTGGGGATGGATTTGCTCGGACTATCCCCAAGCCGTTTTATATGTGGCCCTGTCCTGACCATACTCCAACATATGCCCAGGCCATAAATTTCACCTTCAACACAAACTTCCTCAGCTGAGAACTTCTGTCCAAATAAAAGCCTACAGCAGTGTGGGTTCTCAGATCCTGGCTGAAGTCACTCCACTCACCAAAGAGGTCTGTCCCACCCTGCAGGGTAAATGTAACCACCGTGTACTACAAACGCGCACTAATAAAAACAAAAATTGAAAAAAAGGAGGGCCTGTGGCCTTGTCCTTTGCAAGAACAGGAAAACGCCCAGTACTTTGTGAAGCGCCACAGAACAGTGCTCAAGGGCTCAAGTGCTGTAAGTCAAAGGAGGAAATGGAGTGAGGGAGAAGAAGGGGGAGGAGGAAATACAAGTGATCTAAAGCCTGCAGGCGCCACTGTGTAACATGTACAGTGCAAACGATGCCTTTTCTCTCCATCCGATCACTTTTCGGCTCTGGTCTGTGCATGAAAACAAAGGTCCTCCCAAGACAACACGTTACTCACGCACTAGAAATACAGCTTTCTGTTCCCGCGCTATGACCATAAGATCACTGTTTGGAGACAGGGATAAAACACAGTCCTGAAGCCAGGAAGTTTTCTGTGTCTTGCAAGCGCTTCCTTCTTCTTCCTGTGGTAAAAGTGTAATTACTACAAATAGAAAAATACATAAGGTTTCAACTTGACTTGCCTGCCTTCAGACCAGTGGAGAGAAAGGGAAAATGAATTCTCTTTTTTTTGTTGGTCAGTTTTTTGGGGGTCTCAATTCTTTTTATAGAGTTTTATTTTAATTAATTAATTTATTTATTTATTTGTCTTTTTGACAGAGTGTCTCGCAGTTCAGCTGGCCTTTGTAGCCTAGGCTGGCCTCGAACTAGCGACGATCCTCCTGTCCCAGCCTCCCGAGTACGGGGATTACAGGCGTGTGCCACCATGCCTGCCCTTTCACAGAGTTCTATATGTCTTATCCAAACATATCAAAGACGACTAACAAAATAAAATGTTATAAACGAATCTCAGCTTTGAATATGAATACAGCAAATGTAAACATAAATAGGCAGGGCATCAGAAGAGTGTTACTTAGGGCTCACCCCAGGAGTGATTCGGCATGGTAAGTAACTCTCTCTGCAGGGACGGCCAGAGTACCCTCAGCTGGATGAAGAGGAAAGCACCACCGGGTGACCGCACGGTTGTAGGATCCACAAAAATTTGTGAAGCTTCTTGCTTTTTATTTGACCTGTACAATGTTATTTTCTAATTTCATACTTACTACACCAGGAAACCCCATGGTTAAAATTTGAACAGCAGAAATAGGTCTTCTTTGGAAAACCCCATGTCCCTATACATTAGCTACCAGGCTGTCCACTCTAAAGACAACCGATGTGGCTCCTCATTCTCGTATTTCCAGAGATGCTCTATGTGTACACAAGTGAACACTTCATCCTCCGCTCACAAGCTGGCATCATGATACACACATACTCTACCTATTTGCTTTTTTTTTTTGTCTTTTTGAGACAGGGTTTCACTGTGCAATTTGGACTGGCCTTGAACTCACTTTGTAGCTGAGGCTGGCCTCAAACTCACAGTGATCCTCCTGCCTCAGCCTCCTTAGTGCTGGGATTACAGGCGTGTACCACCACACCTCGCCTTAACTATTTGCATTTTTCTCTTAACATATACCCCAGACTTCATTCCACAGCTGGCTTCTTTATTTTTTTTTAATAGCTGCACTGTTCCATGTTTCAGATCCTTCAACTTTACCTACTTCCTCCTGATGGGCATTTGTGTTGTCATCTTCTGCTGTGACAGACCACCCTGCAGTGAGTAACCTCAGGAGTTTGGCAGTGTACCTCCCTGGGGACACTGCAGTAAGGAGAGTTTCTAGGAGACAGCTGGGTCACAGGGAACGTGCCTCAATAAGCTGCTGATGTTCTCAAATTGTGCTCCGCACACACTGTATTCATATGCAAGTTTGGAAAGTGCTTGCTTTCCCACACGTTTCGAGAGACACGTTAACTCTGGTGTTTCCGTTTTTACTTGTGTTAGTACAGGTCTGCAGTACGTAACGACCACCTCCTTGTGAGGTGCTGGTGCGTGTACATCACACACATCAATGCTCTTCTCATCCTCGTCCCCTCCTCTCTCCCTACCATGCAATCTTTATGCCTGTGAGTCTAATTTATTTCACGTTATGGCTGAAGGTACACCGTTTCCTACATGTGACTCAAGTTTATCTTTATGGTAGAGCAATACTCCAATGTGAAAGTTGCTTTTTTTTCAGTCTTTTTGAGACAGGGTCTCCTTATGCAGTTCAGGCTGGTCTTGAGCTCACTTTGTAGCCCAGGCTAGTCTTGAGCTCACTTTGTAGCCCAGGCTGGTCTTGAACTTGCAACGATCCTCCTGCCCCAGCCTCCCGAGTACTGGAGGTACAGAAGTGCACCACTATGCCCGGCCTAAGAAAGGTATTTTAACTCCTGCTCTTTGTCAATCCAATAAATAAATAGGGATCTCTCTCTCCTGCTCACTTGCTCTTTGTCTTGGAATTTAAAGAAAAGTGATACCTCAGTATACTTTTAAATTGCATTTCTCTTATGAATGAGAATAGGTATTTTCTCAAATGCTTAACAAATTTTCTCATTTGCATAAAAATTGTGTAAATTTCCTATGAACAAGTGGCTGCTCTCCTTTGTAGGTTCCTACTGGGTCGCTGCTCTTTGATTAATTACTGTATATTCTCCTTACACGGAACCGGGGTGTAGCTAAACAGCACAGTGCCTGCCTGGCAAGTGCAAGGTCCCGAGTTCAATTCCCGGTAACAAAAAAACAAAACACACTCTCCTTACACAGAAGAAAACGTGGTCCTTTTTGCAAGAGTTGCAAATAGTTTTTCCCAACGTACTATGTGGTGGCTTGTTTTTTTTACTGTGAAGCAGTAATTTTTTACTGTGAAGTAGCTAGATCACTGACTTGTTCTCTTACAGGGTCTAAGTTTTATGTCATGAAGATCCCTACCCTGCTCAGCCTCATCTAGTATCTTTTAGATTGAATTATTCAAGTGGGAAGAGAGGCAAGAGTTGTTAAGGCTGCTTTCATTGTTTTAAAAAAATTATAGTTTTATGCTCTTTAAAAATTTTTCATATGCATGCATTACTAACATTGACAAAATTTAAGAGATTTTAAAAACAGAAAGTCATCCTAGTCAGAAACATTCCAATAGCATTTCTAGAGAAGATAAATAATTCTTGCTGAGATACCATCAGAGAAATGTGTAAAGGACAAATAAAATATGGCTTACAGGAAAGCTGTAGGAATATCTCCAAGTAACCCTGAAACCTCTGGAAATCCAAGCAACTCCTTTTCCTTTAGAAAAAACAGTAGAAATGAACAGACTTAGGACCTTCTTTTTCTCTTTTCAAACAAGGTGAGCTAAAGAGGCTGCACTCTACCATCTCCCAAAAGACAGGAAGAGAAGAGTAATATTGGTAAAATCTCACTTATTCAAATTCCACTTTTTAGGAATTTTGCCTCTAGCTTGGTGTTTTTAAAATGTTATTTTACACAGAAAAATTAGAGAGGAAGTTATCCCCTAAGGATAAAAGTTAGCTATGGTTGCATTTCTTCCTGAGCCAGCTTCTGCTGCAGGAGAGTCTGTGCTAACCCAACACAGCACCCGAGATTCCCCCAGGGGCAGCCCTCTCTGTGGTCCCCCTCCAGGGCCGGTGCGGGACCTTTCAGGCAAGCAGGGCCCCACCTTCAGGCAGCAGTCCCAAAACAGCAGAAATCACACAGGAATATTACTTAGGTATTGCATTAGACCAAAAAAAAGTAGCAGTGTCTAAACACCTTTAATTGCTCCCTTTTATCCTCTAACTTCCATTTCACTGCAATAAAAAAAGAATCAAAGTAATGCTCCAGAAAACGAATACCATACTGACTTAGGCAAATTCTACAAAAAATAATTGTAAAAACCAATTGAGCATCTACACAAATGGGTTTCTTTTATCATATTTCCAAGATTATGTTCAAAGAGTAAATGCTGAAAATATTCTAAAACTCATTTTTCAATAAAAACATCATTTCCATGTTTCTGGCCTGTGTCTTCACAATAATGTCACTGACAGGAATGAGATCTGTCAAAGAATTTCAAAGATGTGAGGCACTTAGAGACCAGCTGGTCCAAAGCCTCACAATGTCACAGACTCTCTCGAGGTCAGGGCTATGTATGCACCCAGCCGCTCTGAGAACAGAGGAGCCTGACTTTTAACCTGGTGGTCTTTTTGGTCTATGCCCTGCTCCTCGGAGGACGCAGGAGCCTGCTAGGAGAAGGCTGCCTCTGCCTGGGGTTGGCCCCTAGTCCCAAAGTCCACGAAAAGCCTTTTCTCAAAGTGGTCTGCTTGATTACTGACACTTCCTTTCTGCAGCTCTTCAGCTGACTTCGCTGGAAAATAACCAGCTAACCACGGGGGCAGCACATTCTTGAGTGTCTCCTTTAAAGACATCTGTCCTCTTTTCTGCATTTCCCTATGGAGCCCCAGTTCCCCTGGCAGCTGCATCCTACTCCTTCACCTTCCTTCACACTGACCGCAGTTCGAAGGTACTGCTCTCTGTTGCTTATTCCACCTGTGACTGCGTTTCTCCCGCACGGTCCTGTCCCAGTACCGCAGCTTCTCAGTGACTTAGCTCACAGCTGCTGCCACCAACACAGAACATCTCGTCGGCTAAGCCAGTGCTTCTAGCCCGGGGCACCTGCTCCCCCGCGACACTGAGCACTGCTGGGCAGAGGCTGAGGACGCCCTCCGGATGCTGCAGTGACACCCCCACCAGACCGAGTCCCCACCCAGCCTGGCCCGCTGGAGTGCCGAGGTGGAGAGAGCCCGAAACTCTCGCCCCTGCTCTCAAGTTTCTCGGTTTCTCCTACAGCGTGTCTGACCTTTTCAGCTGACAGGTTCTCCACAGTGTCAGTCAGTCCTTCAGTGCTTAAAGGAAGGTCCTCCTCCATGGCTCTCTTCGGAGGCCAGCTGAGCAGTATTCACTACACAATTGCCCTTCTACGGGGTCACTTCCATCCACCACATGGCCACACAGCTGCATGAGCCTGGGCTGCAGGCGCGCCACTCGACCTCTGCCTGGCTGGGTGACCAACTCACCCTCACTGGGAGGCCTCTATCTCTGAGGCTGGAAGTGGGGTTGAACTTCTCACCACTCCCTGAATCCTGACCCACAGCAGCAGGCGCTGTGCGTGGTGACTCCAGCCCCGCAGCAGTGGGAGTGCAGAGATGAGATGTCAGCTCCACAGTCTACGATGAAAGTGACACAGAAGGCAAACTGCACAGGCGGCCCGACGCCGGCCTTCACAGCCTTGCCGCTCCTTCCCAACAGGGGACGCTGTCCTAACAGCCCACTGCGGGGCAGAGGAGAGCTCGGAGAATGAAATTACACAGTCCCTCTCTCTCTCTCTCTCTCTCTCTCTCTCTCACATACATACATACATACACACACACACACACACACACACACACACACACGTGCACGGCCGACCACAGTGGTTCACTGCAAACCTCACCCGAGTCACCAGTGCCATCCTGCCTCCCTCGTTGGAGACGAACAGACCCAGGCCCAGTCAGGGTCGGG